GATGGGGGGGGGGGCCACACCACGGCTAACCCGGCCACCAAGGCATGACACCTCTTCCGCACGCCTCTCCGTGCCGGGCGCCTTGCGTGCTCTGCGATTGTGGCTCCCCTGATCGCTCCGTTTGGTAAGGCGATTTATTTTAGGGTGCCACGCAGGCACGTACAGTGGAAAAAAGGTTGCCAACTGCAGCGGGTGAGCCGTGGTGCCAGGCCCGTTCTGCGACGCCAATCGATGCGCCAGCCGAAACAGCCCAAGACCTCGCGGTAGGAACTGTGGATGCTGGTCCTGCACAGTACACGGCCGTCAGGCGGGCAATGGTGAGCCATTTTCTGGAAGGGCACGCCACAGTCTTGACCCCGTTGGAGCAATCTCGGTGCCCCACGATCGTGAGGTGGGTTCGGGATCCGCCCAGGCCAGTCAGTCAACACGTCCCCTGACGAGCGGATGTACGGACGTGGACGGGGTTGAGATGGGTCCTGGAGCCCTGCGCAGGCCCTCGGAATACGTAGAGCCTGCCTGCCTACTGCCCGGTGGTCCATTTGTTACTTATCGTCCAGCAAACGCCGACGGGGCGAGAAGACGATTGACCCTGTTTTGCTCGCCCCGTGGGCCCGGAAATTGCCATGGCGGCGCGGAATCCGTCACGGCAAGGTCGGCGGCTCAGCTGGGGCGGTCTGCCGCGAAGCGGTGCGAGTGCCACAGATATGCACGACTTGGAGGACCTGCGGTTGCAGCATGGCGCTCGACGGACCAGGACCAGGGCCGGAGCCGCCTCGCTTCCGTCCTCCTCATCATCCGTCAGCTGGGAGGGCCAGGGTGACGGGCGCGCGCGTCTGCTTCAGAAGAGTTTTGGGCTTGACGACAAGATTCTGCCGCGCATAATCTTGACGTCTGGTGCCGTGTCAGACTGTATTACAGCTCGTACGTTCTGTCCCTGCAAGACGACGACGCTCACTCGGCTCTGCGGCGGCGGCGGTTACGGCGGAGCGAGGCCGTGAGACAGACCACGCGGCGCCCGCCCTCGTCCTACCTGGCAGTTCCGATTTCCTTGGGGGCATTCCCATGGACGGGGGGGGCGGATGGATGGGTCGGACAACGGCGTTTTTGTGATGCGCGACGCGCGAGGGTGTTGCGCTGCAGGTGCTGGAGAAGGAGAGAAAAATGGAGCCGCCTCCACCGCGCTCGGCGTTTGACCATCCACAGCGCGTGCAACAGAAGGCACCGTCCAGCACCAGGGGATGGATGGTGGGCCGCCCTCGGCCAGTGCCAGGCTAACCCTTGACAGAGAAGCCTGGGCGCAACGTTCTAGAAGGATGGAATGCTGCGAGCCCGCGGCGTCTGCTTCCATTGGGCAGGAGAGCGTCATCATCCGTCGCCACCACCACCACCGCCATTACACACCACCGCCGACGGCGGCGCTCCTTGCCAATCCAGCGTTGCCGGTGATTGATTACCACGGCCGTCCCGCCGCGGACTCCAGGGCTCTTTGGGAGCAACAACAACCTACTACTCCCACGGACAATGAGTCGCTCACTCATCAGCGATTGCCAATCCCTTGCCTCCACAGGCCCACGACGGTAAGCACTCAAGGCACTGCTTCCCTTGCCCCCAAGCCCCCCAAGGCGCGTGGCCTGGTGATCGTCGAACGGACTTGCAACAACAACCCACCACCACCGTATTCCATCCCCATGCCCTCCCCGCCCTGATGACCTCCCCCCAGACCCCCCTCCCCGCAGTGGCTTGCCAGAGCGAGATGAGCAGGCGTCGTCCCGTTGGAACCCGAAAGCGGCGCGACGCCAACATCCACACACACACACTCACACACACACACATCAAACCATGTCTCGAGTCTCGCCCGTCCCCATCCTTCATCATCAGCACCAGTACGTCATTCTGCCAGCTCACACCATCCATCCATGATGGCTGTCTCTTATACACATCTAGATGTGTATAAGAGACAGCACACACACACATCAAACCATGTCTCGAGTCTCGCCCGTCCCCATCCTTCATCATCAGCACCAGTACGTCATTCTGCCAGCTCACACCATCCATCCATGATGGCCCCCCCGGCGTGCCGTCTGCCGTGACGGAGGGGCGGATGGGCAAGGAAGAGGAATGGCCCAACGAGCTTTATTGCAACGACACATGCAGCGCACATCGCATGCCGCACCGCGTCGCCTCGCGTCCGGGCAGCTCCTTGCCCGGGCGTCGCTGCAGGCCGCCCTCCGCCTGTGCCAAGAAAGGCTTTTAGCAAAGCGAATTGTCACGACTTGCCCTTCTCCGCTCCATCGTCACTCGCCGGAGCAAAAGATTGGCGCACGACCTGCCCAGTGCGCCAGGGTAGATACGTACGCACAATCCACTCGCAGCCCCCAGAGCCTGACCCCATTGCGGAGGTGGGGGGTTGGCCAAGGCGGGAGGAGAAAGATGAATTGCGGCACGTTTGTAAACTTTTTCTTCGCTGGCTTTGCGTGCCAGAGTGTGATGGTACCCCATCAGCTACCGTAGATCCTCTATACGGACTACGCGTTTCCCGCATTCCCTCGGCGGGATGACACTCAACGCCAAGAGCTTGGAGAAACAAAGGGCGTCATGACTGTCGTCGAAATACGCTCACCTGTTTCACCCGTGCAGAGACAAACGGCATCATCCATTCGAGACCCGGCACGCGAGGCAGGGTGAGACAGACGGGCACCCAGCCGTTGCCGACATGCGTCGATATCACCACCTCATGGGCGCCTTCGTCGGTGGGGGCGAGCCGGTGGCTGAAGCAGCCGTGTGTATTGTGTACTCGTAGGTCCAGCTGTCGAGTTACACCGCAGCGCAATGTACAGTGAGAGCAACGGTCGCGCGCAATTCCGCGGCCAGGCCCGTTGGGCGAAGTTACGTGTAGGACAAGGAGGGGGAGGAGGATGATGGGCGCTGCTGCCAAGAGAGACTATGCGAGCCAAGCTTTGGCCAAAGGCTGCGGAGGCGAGAGTCTATTTCCACGTCGCGCGCGGGGGGCTGGAAGCATGGGCGATGGATGGGATGATGGGGTCTCGTCTCGTCGTTTTCGTCGCCACGCGCCTCCCTCCATCTTTCAATTTGGACCCGGCTAAATTCCTTCTGCTGAACATCAGATGGATAATTCCTAGAGTGGCCGCCCTGTCAAAACCTGAAGCTGCGTGGCTTGCAGGCCCGGAAGAAGAGTTGCCCGCCCAGCGCTGCAGGGTAGCCGTCGCGATGCGCTCCTCCATTGAAGCCCCGATCCGCCCCGCCCCAGACGCGTCGATGACCGTCTGGAAGATCGCGGGACGGCCGATGGAGGTGGCTGGCGATCTGTCAAGGCTTTTTCAATGGATGATGCAACAAAAAGTCAATCCTTTTCTTTTCGCGGTGCGTGGGCACAGTGGCTGTACAGTACAGCGTTTTTGTTGCAGAGCACCGGGCCGGAGAATCGCACCACCAGGTAGGGACGTAGCGCTCACCACCTGTCAAACCGACCTACTGCAGGCCAAGCTTTTCTGCAAGGTAAATCCCTCTACTGCATGCTGCGTGAGGAATATGCACGCCACGCATCGGATTATGGTGTGCAAGAGGGCAGTGAGTGGCATGACCGTCTGCACGTTGGAGTCTGGTTCTGGGCTCCTGGCTTGCAACGGGAAATCGGACTCCGACGTCTGGTTCTCTACCACTTTCTGTCGGGACGCTCGCCGCAAGTCGTCAGTCTCCTGAGCAATCGTGATGACTTGTGAGCCGCACAGCTAGATTCGAAGACAATGATTTTCACTCCTCTCAGCTTTTTTTTGTTCTTCTTCTCTTGGAGCCTGCGTGGCATGTCTACGAGTACTCGTCGCGCAATGAAGCACCCCAACGCGGCCTAGTACAGCGGCTCTTGGCACTGGCGGGACGCCTCGCGTAGTGGAAATCGCGCGACCAGCTCCCGCTGGGAGAGCTCGTCGCTTGGACCAAGTGAACCCAGGTGAACCAAACCGGTGTAGTCTCTCTACAAAGTCGTCGCCGGGTCTTGACCGTGGATAACTCGGACTTTGGAGGGCTCACGTGAATGCTCGTGGGGGGACGTTTCCCCTGGGCCCGGACCGGCTCCGGCCAATTGAGCTCTCTACAGTATTCAGTCGCTCAACGACAGCGACGGAAGCATGTCCTCGCTCATGCAGCTAGCTCTCGAGGTCTGGCGCCGACAGCCCGGGGTGGGGCATGGCGAGGGTGATGTTATTGACGATGCGCCCGTGCTCGACATACTGCGCTGTGCCGATGCTGTGCTCTAACTGGATCCACGACGGCGACATGGCGACATTGTCGTACAGCAGCGTCGTGTCGACGGGACGCTGGTGTCGTGAGGCAGCGGCGAGGAAGAGGTTGGATTGAGGACAGTTAGCCTACAAACCAGGGAAGTACACGTACGAATTATCTAGTTGACAAATGCACAGGCACAAAAATATTGGTTTTGAAGAGATCAATCCCGTCATGGATGATTTGAGTTTCTTCAAGCTACGTATCCGCGGGACTTCAATTAGGGCGTTGCCGGGTTTCGGCCCGGGGCGGGCGCCTGCTAACTAGGCCTATGCGGCGGAAATGGACCTCTTCCAGACCCTTTGGTCTGTTCCCTCTATTCGTTTCGCCAGTTACCCTTGTGGCGGCTGCAGGCACTTTTTGCAGCGAATCTTGGTAATCGAGTAGGCTAACACATCGCAGTGGCTCTTCTGCCACTAGTGGTACCTGTAAACGGCCCGCGTCGTAGGGGACATTGACAAATACGGCGAGGAAACTACGACTATAGACAAAAAGCCAAAGACCAGCAATTGACTGCAATGGCCATGACATCATGAGATGTCTCGCTGCGGCCATGATCGTTATGATGCTGCTTATCAATGAATTGTCTGCATATACGTTGACCTCTTGTGTATTTAAACGGCGGAACACATGCCAAGACGATTCATCGCATTACTCTAAGCCCGCAAGCAGAATATCATTTTCGAAGACTTGAACTACATCCTACAAATCAGGCAACATGACCCCAGCACGCATTCTTCTCGTCCACGGCGCCCTTGCGGACGGCTCCTCGTGGTCCAAGGTCATTCCTCGTCTCCAGGCAGCCGGACACAACGTCACATCTGTGCAACAGCCGCTCACCGGACTCCCAAACGACATCGACGTCGTCAGAACTGCTCTGAAGACCCTCAACTCCCAGAGCAATGTGCCAATCGTTGTTGCCGGACACTCTTTCGGCGGCTTCGCCATAACCAATGCTGCCACCGACACTCCCAACATCAAGGCGTTGGTCTATGTCATGGCCTTCGCTCCGGACGAGGGAGAAACCGTCAACACCCTTAGTGTCGGTTACACCCCCTTGGAGTCGTACAAGTACTTTCTCCCCGACGCAGACGGTCGCCTCGTCCTCGCGCAGCCGGAGTTCTTGAAGTACTTCGCTCCCGATGTCGACCACGCGGATGCTCGTGTCCTGGCTGCCGCGCAGGGCCCCTTCGACGCCGGCCGGTTTGACTTTGCATCCGGAGAGCCTGCGTGGAAGGAGGTCAAGACAATTCACTACGTCATTGCCGAAAAGGACCAGATCATCCAGCCCGAGCTGCAGGCGTTCATGGCGAAGCGCATCAATGCCAAGACTCACACGCTCAAAGATGCTAGCCATGCTGGACTCTACAGCCACGGGGATGCTGTTGCTGACGTTATCCTTGAGGCTGCAAACAGCTGGTAGGCGTCTTCAGTCGCCGTGAGAGTCGGGACGAATGACGGCTCTTGAACCTTGACATCTTGTGCCGCCCCTCGCAGCTCATTACGATTTCATTTCTATTCTGAATGTCCAGTAAACGAAGGCTTAGCTTAAATTCAGTGCAGAAAAATTAACATTATGTCTCGTCGTGCCGGAGCGATCAATCATCGTGTAAGTTCCCCGGTCCACCAATTGGATCCGCTCAACATAAAGCCCAACACAGCTCGGCCACAAAGTCGTTCTGCCTCTGGAGACGTGACATTGTCATTGGCCATGAAATAAGGGCTAGCCTTCATAGAAGCTATAATTACATGTGTACTGCAAAGTAGTCCCTATAGGGCTGAGACTGTGATGACACCCCTAATCGTGATCCCATGCCGCCCCCACAAGGCTGCTTACTCCCCATGGGTCAAGCCCAGGCAGCCTGGCTGGCATTTGATGCGGGCGAGCCAATCACCACCTGAAGCCTGAGGTGGCTGTTCGGTAATTGCTGCGATGTTGATCGCTCTCACTGATCAAAGTCAGCTTTGACGAAGCACCCTCCACCCGGTAGTGCATAAAACATCATGCAAGTACTGGCAAAGTACAGGGCCCGGATGAATTTGGCCTTGGCGGGGAACCTGGTCGAAATGCCACCAATGCCCATCTATGGGGACAAGAACTTAATCTTGGACTACAATGCTGCTGGCATCAAGATCATTAGCGACCCTCATGTAAGCAAACACTTCGAGAGGGGGGAACGCCCCGAGCTCCTAGCCCTAATTGTTCAGACCTGGACAAACTGGTTGTACGATTAAGCTCCTATGTTGTCTTTGCGTGCCACAATATGTTAATTCATCGCTCCATACCGTCAATTTGGGAAACGAATGCTCTCGTGCTCCTGCGCCTGCCTCACGTAGCGTCGTAGAAGCCTGCAGGAGTGTAGCAAAGTGTACCGCCAAACTTCCACCTTTCAAATAGACATGGCAAGGCTTCTTCCGGGACAGTTGCGGCTAGCCTTCCGGCACACCCAATGAGAGGAAATGGGCTGGCTCGTTGCCTCGAGCGCCCTTTGAGCGCACTATGCCAGTACCGGGTCGAGGGGAGCCGATACCATGCACGACAAGTCTCAAAAGGAACACAGGCTGTTATAAGCTTATTAGCTTACCGCTGATCCGCAGGGCTGAAGACAGCTGCATCGAGGTCTGGCAGCTGGTTGGGGAAGCCGCAACATTTACGCGAGTCTCAGCCTGAGAAGTAAATACGGATGCCGAAATGACGAATGGGAACACGGCAACACGCCCAGGGTACCTTGGGCGCCGTCCGAACCCTCTACATCACGAACTAGTTCTGGGATTCGTGGCTCGCCGGGACCACTTGATGCGAGATCCGTATCTTGGGGAAATGCAAAGTATTTATAGCCATCGGGTATGGCTCTCAAGCGAAGGGTTACTGTGTTTCCTATCTCTCCATCAATCTGCTCAATACTCTTTTCCTTACGTCTTTGTCATTGCATTTATTTCACTTTGGCGAGCAAAGCAACCCTCGTGGACTCCAACGTTTTACCACGCTGTTCTCCTTTTTTGCATATAATATGGCCGACAGACAGTATCTTGTCCGATTTGGGCCCAACGCCAATTGCACATTCGAGGTAAGACGCAATCCCTGCCTTGAAACTGTCCCGGCCTAAAAGTTGCACCGGACGACGAGCGTCAGCTTACACGGCCAATGACCAGCTCTGCACCATCGACGAAAGCGTGTACGGTTACCGACCGTCGCTGCCTGCGAATATCGCCTTCGCAGCCTTGTTCTCGACGGCAACGATTGTTCACATCATTCTCGGAATCAAGTGGAAGACTTGGTGGTTCATGTGGTGCATGATTCTGGGGTCGACCCATGAAGTCGCCGGCTACGTGGGCAGGATAATCCTGTACATCAACCCGTGGAGCTTTGCCGCTTTCATTATCCAGATCAGTACGTATTCGGAGGTGGATTAGCGGACAGACTGTGCGCGTGTTAGTCGCTAACTGCAGCTAGTCTGCATCACACAGGCGCCAGTGTTCTACTGTGCGGCCATCTATGTGCTCATAGGTCAAACGTGAGCCGCGCACCTCCATGTACCACCATTTGTGCTCAGAACTGACCCTTGGCAGCATCGAGAACTATTCCCCTTCACTGGCCAGGTTCCCTACCAAGTACTTCCTCTGGATCTTCCTTCCCTGCGACATCATCTCGCTTACGCTGCAAGGCGTGGGCGGGAGCTTGTCTGCTGCTTCGTCCGGTGACGATGAGACGGGCGTCAACATTGCCATGGCGGGCCTCATCTTCCAAATCGTCACGCTGTTTGCGTTCTGCGGCCTGTTTGGCGACTACCTGGTTCGCCTGTTTCGGTCGGCCAAGCCAGGCCAGATCAGTCCACGACAGAGGATATACTTTTCCTTCCTGAGCCTTGCAGTCTTGGTGACATTGATACGGTGCATATTCCGCGCCGATGAGCTCAAGGCTGGCTACCATGGCGAGCTCATCACGCGAGAAGACTTGTTCATTGGTCTGGAGGGAGTGTAAGTTTCTCGCAAGTGCGGTGTCTAGGCGCTTGAATGGCTTGCTGATTAGCGATTGCAGACTCATCGTGGTCTCAATCTTTTGCCTCTGTCTCGGTCATCCAGGCTACGCGTTCAACGACAAGACAATTCGATATTCTCAAGTCACGAGGGGAGAAGTCACGGGTCAATTGCTGCCCCATGGCATAGAAATGGCTCCCAAGCCCGCTGTGGACCGCTCCTACTCGTACGAATCGGGGGGCCACTAGCCCGATACGGCCCCTGGAGAGGGACGATTTCAAGACAAATTTGGGCAGCGTGAGGTCGCGGTTGGTGCGAAAAAGCCGGGCCGTCTGACATTGTTCCAAGCAACAGCCCAGCCACTGGCAAAGCCTCGGGGATGCCCGACAGCATCATTCAAGGATACCTTGACCCGCAATGAAGCAACTCATCGCATCCGCTCGAGACCTAATCTCAATGAGGAGTGGAATTCGTACAGTAAATGTTCCTCCAGTCCTTTCCCGACGTGGCTGTGCTAGCCTGGTGCCATGGGGTTTGTTGAATGTGTGCTGTAGAACGATAACGTTAACAGCCGAAGGCTCACGGCAATAAGCCCGGCCCTACCATTGGCCACTCCGCATGGATTGCCCAAGATGGCGCTAATTCTGGCTCCCGGAACAGTGCACAGTCATCATCCGTCAGCGCAACGTTATGCCTTGGTTCCTTAGTGCTCACGTCTTCCTGCCGTTATGTCGATACCGCCCGTTGCACGGAGGATGTTCTTGGAACCGAAAGCGACAAACGGAGGTCTCAAGAAGCCGGGCGCAATGATCCAAAGCGCTATATCAATAAATGAAAGGACACTCGTCCTGGAGTTGAGCAGTTGAGCAAGTATTCATTGCAACTATTCGTCAAGCTAGGGAGGAGAAATGGTCAACACGGGGAAGCCAAGCCGAGGCTGCTCGACATGCAAGAAGAGAAAGATCAAGGTACCATGACGCCACGACCGCTGTTACCAATCGGATGGCCAAGAGTTAACAGGTGCCGGTAGTGTGATCTGTCAGAACCCAGTTGCGGACAATGTGTGAAATCGGGCTGGCCCTGCCCCGGCATCCTGTCTGAGGAGGCGGTTCGCTTTCGTGGCAACAAGCTGCGGCGCATTCGAGACGACAGTCCTGCTTCCGGCAGCCTGGCCACTTACACGCTTCTCGTCCCGGCCCGATCCCGATCCAGGTCCCTAACTCCAGGCTTGGCGGTAACCTTGGAAGACCGCGCCACTGCCTTCTTTGTCCACCATTACGTTCGCCAGGGGCACAATGGGTCCCTGTCCGGGCCGGGGGCCCGGGGAACCAATGAATACCTCCCCGCGCTTCTCCGGGAAGAGTGTGTTTCCGATGCGTTCAAGAAAGTCGTCGCGGCTGCTGGCATAGCTGCCATGGCGAATGCTGGGAACTCCACGGCGAGTTGGCGAGGCGAGGCGTACAAGCTCTACACCGGCGCGGTTCGCCAGCTGCGGAGTGATCTGTACGACCCGGTCAGGTCCAAGTTGGACCACACCCTGGCCGCCGTCATGCTCATGGGGACATTCGAGGTAACCCTTATCCACATTCCCGGACCCCTACGCCATCCCATTCGCAAGCCACCATGGTCGCTGACACTATCGTCAGGTAATCGCATCTGGAGATGCCTCATCCATGAAGTCTTTTGGCCACCATACGTTAGCGACAGCGCTATGCATTCAATTGCGTGGTAGAGAGCAATTTCGTAGCGAGGTTCAGATCAGGCTTTTTCTTCAGGCCCGAAGACTCATCGTATGCTGTCCGTTGCTCACTTACAATCCCTGCACGGATGCTAAAGGCTTCTAGGTCCAGACGTATCACCAGCTACAGCTGGCGATCCCTTATTCTCTAAAGTGCTGGTCCCATTGGGCCGAGACCATCCAGAGCGAGGAAGAGTTTGCTGCCAATCGCTTCTCCGAGATCAACGAGCGCCTCGCCAACGCGCGCGCAGAGATCAAGCAGCAGCGGATTTCGTCTCCCTCTGTCATCGCCTCGAGGCTCCTCAAGTTTGACGACGAGATCGAGGCCTGGCGGCGAGACTTGCCAGCGTCCTGGGCCTACAAGTCGTACTGCTCTGTGCGGTCTACCAGGAGCCCTCCCAGTGAGGTCTTTGAGAGCCACTACGACAAGTATCCGGACCTGTGGATCGCGTCGACCTGGAACAACTACCGATCTGTCCGGCTCTTGATTCACGAGGCCATCATAGCCGCGACACTGAAACACGGGTCAGAGGAGGAGATCGCGAACCTCACAGCGTCGATGGCGGTCCTGGCGAGGATGGCCAGGGACATATGTAATAGCGTGGCGTACATCATGGGCCGTGGTCGCGAAGGGTCTCGGTCGCCCACGCCTGAAGACGGCAACGGCTCCGCCTCTCCAGGGGGCTACTTGCTCTTGTGGCCGTTGTTCCTCGCGGGCATGCTCAGGACGACTCGCAGGGTCCAGCGGGCGTGGATCACTTCCGAGATTCGACACATTGGAACAACGATGGGGATTCACTTGGCCATTTCGATGGCGAGGGTGCTGGTAGAGCATAACAAGTCGTTTTCGGATGCCGAGGTGTGGTTCATAGGGCAATTCTACCCATGATGCAGAAATGGGCTGTAGCAAGTTGCATGGTGAATTCATTCGGTGACTTGGTCCCGGGCTCACTTTGACGCTTGGCCGCGCGTACATCTCTCACATTGCCAAAAAAAAAAAAAAGGTGACCATCGCCGGCCAAAACTCAGGGGTGTTTGCATCATTCCCCGGCGCACAGCATGGGGCGGTCAATCGCTTTGAAGGGCTGTCGGCTAGTGTCGTCGACGGCCCGGCCGTTGTCGAGCCCCGAGCCCAGCCCTACAGCGATGATGCACTGTCGCCATGTGGTGTTCCATCGCTCAGCCCTACCCGACCCTCATGGTCGTCGCCGCCAGCTCTGCAACGACTCACATCCGCCGCTCCTCGCACCGCCGTTCTAATTTTTCATCATTCTGCATCACATCAAATGTGAAAGACTATTTTTACTATAAAAAAAGTCACCGAGCCGGCAGGCAATGGACTCCTAGTCTTGCGACGGGTATATCCCAGGGCCGCGTCCTTTGGCTTACACGGTGACGCGTTCCGACCCGTTTTGGATCCTTTGGCGGCATGCCGGCAGTCTGGACACGGCTTAGTCCCCTGCGCTGAACTGAAGCAGGAGAACTGCGGTCGCAGAAACGCATCATCGCTCATTGAAGGGAGGGCGTCACCTTACAGGCTCGTATCTCGTAACCTTGTTGTCGCCCTGTCGTTGCGCTCCTACCAGACGTCGGGACGGCGGTTCTCGCCAACGGCCCCGTCTGGGTAGACCACTGGATACCGGCCACAACGGCCCTGGACCACCGCAACAAGCTGTACCCGGGGCCGGGGTTGATGGCCAGACTCCGTCACAACAGACACAGCGCATTACGCGTCATCCGCTGCGACCCTGGGTCTGCTTACACACGTTGCTGTGTGTGGACATGGCGATGAGCCTCAGAGTTTACGCAAAGCCTGTTGCAGCCATGGACGCCATCTCCTCGACGTCGCCGCGATGCATGCAGGGCAGTAGTATAAGTGCAATGGACAGAGACGCCGCAGGGTGATTGACTAGCAAAAGACAACAATCGCGACCGTGTAGCTGCAAGTTCCTCACAGCTGGATCCAACAAGACGCCCATTCACATAGCCGGTATGGCTACGCCGACACCAAGTCTGGGACCGACCCGGACATTCGCCGCGACGTCCACGGCGACCTGCACCACGGCCGTGCCGGACAGGTACGGTCACGTCCCGGGAGACGCGTGCAACGCCTACTACGACTTCTACCCGAGCTTCGGTGGGAATCTGGCCTTTGCCGCTCTCTTTGCCTTCAGCACCGTGGGTCACCTGGTGGAGGCCATTGTTTTCAAGAAGCGGTTTTGCTGGGTCGTCATAATGGGCGGACTGTGGGAGACGGCGGCCTTCATCATCAGAACCCTCGGTTCGCACAACCAGCAGGAGATGCAGTTTGCCCTATGGGGGCAGCTTCTCTTTCTCCTAGCCCCCTTGTGTACGCCCTCTCCTCCTGTCAGACTTTCGCGGTCTCCCACTGTCAAACATCGAGCATCCACTCACTACCTCACCTGCATTAACAGGGATCAACGCCTTCGTGTACATGACGGTCGCGCGCATGGTGCACTTCGGCCTGCCGAGCCAAAAGATCTGGGGCATCCGGGCGGCGAGGATGACGCTGCTCTTCGTGTGGTTGGACATTGTGTGCTTCCTCGTGCAGGGCGGCGGCGGCAGCATGCTGTCGGGCGACAACTCGGCCGACGTGCGGCGCATCGGGTCCAAGGTGTACATGTCTGGCGTGGGGCTGCAGCTGGCGTTTGTGCTCGTCTTCATCGTCCTGACGGTGTGCTTTTACGTCGAGATGCGGCGCGTCACGGGCGGCAGGATGGGGCTGATGCGATGGCTAACGCTGGCGATGATTGCGGTGCTGCTGTTCATTGTGGTGAGTAACCTTGACCAACCACGGCTGTTGCTCCAGTTAGGAGAGCGCGCGAGGGAGAAAGACAGCGAGGCGAGGATATGCTGACAACTTGGTCCACGGCAGATGCGCATCGTCTATCGCCTCGTCGAGTTCAGCCCCGGCGCGGGCATGGACAACCCGCTCCTGACGAGCGAGATATACCCCTTCATGCTCGACGCGTTCCCGATGCTGGTGGCGCTGGTGCTGCTCAACGCCATGCACCCGGGGTTCGTGCTTCGTGGACCGGAGAGCGAGTTCCCGCGCCTCAGCCGCGCGGAGAAGAAGGCGCTCAAGGCGCAGAAGAAGGAGGACAAGCGGCGGCGCAAGGAGGAGAAGAAACGAGGCAAGAGCGGGCGCCCGAGCAGTGAGTACGCGCTGGCGGACGACGTGCGCCGGGGGACGGGAAGCGAGAGCGAGTGGGAGAGGGCGCAGAGGGTTTAGACAGCGCCATGCACACTCTGCATGTGAGGCCTTTAAAGACGAGTAATTCGCAATTGACGTTCAGTAGACGACTTACACACGGACGATTCAACTGTGCAAGCAGAGGACACTGGTTGCCTGATTAGGAAATTTCATCCACCTAGGGGGCGTGGAACCAACAGTAGGGTAAATAGCGCAGCCAGATTCCACAAGCGAGCCAACCAGCTCAGCAACCATCCAACAGCGTGATTGGTTTAGTGGTAAAATTCTCCGTTGCCATCCGAGCAACGTCGGGGAGCCCTGGGTTCGATTCCCAGATCACGCAAGACTGTTTCTTTTTGACCTCCTTCTCGAATCGTTGCAGATTTACTTTTGTCATTCGTGTTGCTATTTTTGCTTTTTGCTTGCGACCGTTGGCTCAGCAGCGGACCGCTTTGACGGTGGCATTTTGTGACTGCCTGAATCTGGCACAAGCCGAGAAGCGATATGACACTTTTGTGCGAAGCTGTACCGTAATGCGCGCGCGTTAGGTACTCAATCGGAGGCGATCGGATCGAGACCGTGGGCTCGGTGCCTCGCTGCTATCTGCGAAGTACACGTACGTATCGCACAGCAGTGACGACAGCACAGCCATTGTGCTGTGTGCGAGCGTGCTGCTTCTGGGTGGTTGGGGCTGGGGCGCTGCCCGACCCAGACGGGAGCCATGTGCTCTGGGAGACCCCTGGGGCCTGGGCCGACAGAACTGACTGACGGTGGCTGCGCCATGATACGAGCCGGTTTCTAAGAAAAGAAGCCCGGACCATCGCATCGCCGCACTGTGGGCTACCCCGGCTTTGCGCCGAGCGATACAGTGCGTACGTGCGAACCGACCAAAAAAGCCGTTGGCAAGCAGAGCGCCACCCCCAGGCGCTAGGTCTGCTCGGGCAATGGTGCCACCGCCCTTCAGGGACTTTGGGGGACCTGCTGGCGGGGGTTCGACGTTGACGAGGCGCCAACCTTCAGCCCGCCCACCTGCCATGCCCCTCCGCCACGGGGTGCGGCCATGCATCGAAGGCATGGCATGGCAAGGCAAGGCGAGGGTGGATTGAGGATGGCATCACCAGCGCCGGCCGGCCGACTGGCGGCGGCGGTGCACAGCCCTCGGAGTGAGCCCTACCCGTCCCGCCAGGCCGATCGTGGCCCCCGCTGCTGCGACGACGACGACGTTTCTTTGTTCCGCCGCGGCGCTCCCTGCCGTGCGCGGGGGCCCTCGGCGGGGCGGGAGTGAGAATCTTATTATTGTACAACTGCACGTAGGTACGATGCGGCAGCGTGTCCCGCATCTCACCACGTCGCGGGTGATCGGCGGCGGCGGCAGCGGCGGCGACGGGCAGCGGCGATGGATCACGACGTGGCACGGTGGAGCGGTGTCGCTTACACGTACGCTCGCAGTTACGAACGTGCAACAACAACAAAACCCGCCAAGCTTGCGTTGGCCAGCTGAAGGCATCTCGCCTCCTCTCGAGCGAGCGAGCAAGCGAGCAGCTCTCCTCCCTCCTCCTCTCTCCTCCCTCTGATGAGTGCTAATCAAGTTGGGCCGAGGCCGAGGGCGCGGGCTGGCACCGGCCCCGGGTGGAGAGGCCCAAACGGGCCCTGAGCGCCGGCGTCGAGCAGATCGGCAGCAAATTGCGTGCATGCATTGGCAGCGCAGCGCATTGCGCAGTGGCGCGCGAACAAGGCCGCCGTCACTTGATAAAATGGACACGAGAAGAGCGAGGCGAGCCCTCCAGCGGAGACTGTGGGGAGTGAGCCAGGAGTGTGTAGGCAGGGCAGCCTGGCCGCCCGTCAGCTGCAGCGCCGGTTCGCCCAGCCACCCGCCGATGCCACCCTCCTCCTGCGCGCGAGACGCCACGGCCTCGTGGGCTGTACCTTGCACTTGCACACTTGGCGGCCTGCTCTTTGTTCCCCTTCTCGCGGTGGTGGTGGTGGTGGTGGTGGCCCCCAGTCTCTCTCTGCTCATGGCACATTTTTACGAGGCGGGAAAGGCTGCGGCGCCTGCCCAAAGCGAGTCAGCGCATGGGAGGCCCTGCGTAGGCAATAATTAATACATATGACGGGTATTGCCCGCTGGCCCGGCTGCGCGCCACTTTCCTTCCCGTCGTCTCTTGGGTTGAACGATTCCTGCTGCTGAGGCGACTGGACTGTACTGTCAGGTCGGGTCTGTGATCGCCCAGGCGCCAATAATTCGTACCTGCCGGTCATTTCGAGATCCCGCGAGTGCCCCCGTCGACCGCGCCTGCAGTCAGCGGTACTTGGCGTCTACTCCGTGCCTTATCGACCCGAGCCGAGCCTCTGTCTGCCAGCACAAGCAACAGCAGCAGCAGCGGCAGCAGCAACAGCGGCAATAATACGAGGCAGCCCACTTCCCGCTCGTCGGCTGCGAGCCACTCACTCACTCATCAGGCACGACCGCCCACCACCACCGCCCATCATATCGACCTATTCGCCTCGCTCTTCGTCACCTTATTACTACGGTTCCCGCCTGCTTCGTACGACCCTGCGCGACGGCCGGCATCCGACTTTCCTTGCCGACTGCCGCCCACGCCCAGTCCTTCCTCGCGCCCTCTCCTCTCCTCTCCTCCCATCCTCGCATCGCCCACTCGAGCGACGCATCGGGCCAGCCAGCTCCTCTATTCTCCTCCACCCATTCCTCGCCCACTCACACCACCACGAGTATGCCACTTGCTTCTTCTTGGATAGAGCAATCATAGCCTGCGCGGGCTCGATCCATCTTTTGCGCATACTCGTACGACGTACAAGGAGCATCCTCACAATAAAATGAGCGCCAGACTTTCGCGCCAACGCTTACCACCGCCCTCGGCGGGTGGCCTCGCCCTCGCCGCCGCCGCCGCCTTGCTGCAGCTCGCGAGCGGCCATGTGCTGCCCCGAGAGACGAAAACTGTTCACTTTCGCCCGCTCAAGGTCGAACCATGGCCTCTCGCCGCCGCCACCGCCGTGCCTGCGCATGCGCCCTCTCCCGCTCCCACGGCGCCCGTCGAGCTTCGCGATGATCACACCCTCTACAACACCGTCTGTGGCTACATAGGAGGAGACCCGGCGCTGCCTGCGACGTGTATGGCAGGATCGCACTGCGCCGTCGACGTCGAGCACGGCGCTATCGGCTGCTGCCCTAACGGAGGCGACTGCAACAGCGGCATCTTCACCGGCTGCGTCGACAAGAACAGCGGCCCGCAGACGGCCGACGACCCTTATGTCTACACCTGCGCCGGCAAGAATGTCTGTTACAAGAACACGTTTGACGGCGGCTACTTCCAATACGGCTGCGGCAGTGCCTCCAACCTGGCCACCAGCGTCGCCACCAGCGCGTCGGGACGCAGCGCCTTGCACTTGAGCCACATGACGGTCTCTCTGACGGCCACGGCCACGGCCCGTACCACGCCCACCACCATCGGATCCTCCACCACCTCGGACACTAAGTCTGACTCCGAGCCGGGTAGTACCCAAGCATCGCCATCGACGTCCGCTACTGGCGATGCCGTGGCGCCCAAGAAGGAATCGAGCTCGCCTAACACGGGCGCAATCGTCGGAGGCACAGTCGGAGGCGTCGCCTTTGTCGTCGCCCTGGTTGCGCTCGGTCTCTTGTTGTGGAGGCGGAAACGAGGTAACACACGACGAGGCCCGGGGCCTAACCAGGACACAAAGTATATCAGGTGAGACATGTCTCCCCTCTACACTCTACCCACCTTTTCACGAGACACATGTGCTAATGGCGGCCGCAGCCCAATGTCCGATGCCCGTCGAGACTTTGAGGCGTTGCCTTCATCTCACGAAGCCTCGGAGCGGGAACTCCCGTTACAGATGCCGCCAGCGAATAGGAACGCAGACATTGTCAGCCCCGACAGTTCGGATGGCGATGTCGGCATGGCGCACCAACAGCACGATTATCTGCGAGACGGAGTGCCTCCAGAAGGAGTCACGGTGGGTCGCGGCGCCGACTACGCGTTGGACCACGATCGAGTTCCGTTGACGAGGGAAATCGACGACTTTTCTCACGGGTTCAACTCGGCACTCGAGAACATTCAAGAAGACGACAGCCCGACGCAGCCCAACACGGATTACATGTCGGCGTATCCGGGCCCGCGGCGAGACAGGAGTGGGGGAGGGATATTGTGGCAACAGAACCGCCGGCAGGCTCGCAACCCTATGTGGATGTGAGCGGCGGGACGACGACCAAGTGCTTCCCTTTGTGATTCATCAGTTAGGGCTGACAAGGAGCCCACTTGTATATGGGGATGAAAAGCAGGCCGGCGTTTAGGTATTGCTATCAGCCCGGGCGGGCTCCTTTCCTTTGTTTTGGCTTGATACCCTCCCGAGCCGACGAGACTCGGGCTTCAAAGAAGCTATTCGTATCCACCTCATGGGGCATGACATGGAAATAGCGCTTCATTATAGCGTGCTTATCGCGGAGGATCTGGTGCAGTCTCAGAGTTCATTGCGTACACTACACTGGGACCAGGAATACCAAGGCAGCAACTTAATTGAGATGGCTAAGCAGTGCCCCGTGAAGTGTGAGAACACCAAGTGCTCGCGAAGCCATCATCTCCTCGCAAAGCTGCGGATGGAGGCCACGAAGACGTTCTGGATTACGAGGGTCGCTGCACAGGCGTCCCGTCGTCGGCCCACCAGCACTCTTCGTCCGAGCCGTTGCCGTTACCGCCATACTCGCCGATGCAGGTCATGCTCTTGTACCCTTTGTTGTCCGGTGAACTTTCTCTCTCTGTCATCGTTGCACTCGTGGTCGACGTCTTGATCACTGGAGCTACTGCTTGGGCTTTCTCCGGGACGTCCCTAGGCAGAGGCCGCTTTTGTCCCAGTCGCTCGGGCCACGGAGGCGTATCACGCCCGGCGAGATGGTTTGGCCCTTTATCCACTGCGTCATGCGAGCTTCTGCCCATCAGTCGCCTGAAGTCCACAACCCAGGGCCGCGGCTCGAGAAAGAGGTCATCGCGCCTGGCGACGGTGTACGGCTCCTGAGCCTTGTCTTGCGTAGGGAGCGTCCACAGCCGCTTGTTGTCGACGATGGGGCCCGACGGGGGCCTGCTGCCGTGCCCGGCGGGAGGGCACGTCTTGTTGGCGCGGAAGTAGTTCCACAGGGTGTGCATGCGGCGGATCTGCCCTGGCGTGAAGCCCTCCGACATGTCCCCGAAGCCCATGACGTTTTTGCTGGGGCAGCGTGCGAAGTCCTCGAAGCAGTGCAGTGGCGTGGCGGGCGTGTCGTCGACGCGGTCGCCCGCTTCGGAGCAGAAGTCCTCGACGGGGTGGAGTAGTCCCAGCCAGACGGCAGTCATCTGCACGGCCACGGGCGACGACGCCCACGTGCCCGTGTTTTGCAGGAAGATGCCGTCCGGAAGCACCATCGTGTCGGACAAGTTGCGCGGTGCCAGGGCGCCGTTCACGTGGTCGCCGAACCTGTACGGTCTGCCAAAGTAGATGTTGAGGTCCTTGCCGCATCCCCTGTGGTGGGCCCGCAGGACTCCATCGTCGATGAGCCCGACCCCCTTGGCGTCGACGACGGTTTCGCTGTCGCGGAGGGTGAAGGAGATGTTGGCGGGGCGGAACCAGTCGTTGAGCATGTAAATGTACTGGCTGACGAACAGCTTCTGTCGGCTTTCTCTGTGAGCCCACTCTCACACTCAACGCAAAAGGCACGGAAACTGGATGAAAGAGGAGGGGGAGAGATGGGGGAGGAGGGACCTCACCTTTGAGCGGGGGCTGGCCGATGACTTGACGATCGTGTGTGCGTACACGTCGATCTCGATGGGCTTATACTCGTACGTGTTGTTCCGCTCCAGGGCGGCCATGAGATCGTTGATCTTATGGGCGCCGCCGTGGTATGCCCGCCATATCGAACAATGGGGTTCCGAGTGTGCCTGGAGACGGCCGAAGCGGTCGTCTACGTCTTCTGGAGCGCTGGTCGTGGTGGTGGCGGCGACGGCGGCCGATGCAGCCAGCAGCAGGCCTTGGAGGACAATGACCGACAACATTGGTATACCACTTGCTAATCCGTTCTCACAATAGTAGTGCCGATATCTTTATGCAATCTGCGCGGGATGGTAAAATAGCTGGGCACAATGGTGAAGGCTCCTCCCAGACACGGCGAGGGCAACGCTCTCGCTTTTATATGCGCCTGCCACCAGACGTCCTGCCGCATTGATGGGGGAGGGTGCTGCTGGACCACCACGGACCCCATATTACATGGTTCCTTGGCTCGCTCAAGAATGCTATGCTGGCATCGCTTCTGTCGCGCGAGTGCAACCAGACACGAGGGGTAGGTGGGCTTGGTGTAGCTAGTAACAGGCCACGATCAAGTTGTCATTCATGGTACGCATATCGTGCCGAGACGACGAACAAGGGTTGTTCATGCCCCGAACGTGTCAGATGACTTCCATGTAGTAAAAGTCAGCACTGAGGATGCGCGACTCCGCGCTGCTACCAGGTGCCACAGAGGACTGTTAGTGAAGTCATGGCCCTCCCATGTTGCCCGCCGTGTGGGACACAAAGACGTCCGCAGCTTGCAGAACCAGCCGTAAGTTTTATTCCTTTCGGAACGAGGGATATAGCCAGGTGATATAAGGCTGTCATGGTTCTGCATTTTGAACTTACCCGTGGCCGCATTGTCCGGCGTGGGTTTGCCGGCGCGGCGCATAGACCCCAGGTGTGAGGGGTTGCCGCACCCTCTTGACTGGGTATTGCCACGAAGACACACGTCGTCAAAGAATTTAGGTTCGACACAGCATACCAATGCCTGGTTTGACGCCTAAGATCAAGCGATCTGTTGTCCCGATCATGCGAATATGGTGTTGCCCGACAGACGAGCACGGGCATTGACGGACGTGATTGCACGCATGTATGTAGGCCTCGACCTCGCTCGAGCTGTACTCGCCCATGAGCCCTGGGGGCAAGTCCCAATCTGCCATATGAACTTTAGTAGCTCCCATCGCAATGAGCAGTCTCGCGCATTGAGTAGACTAAGGATGCTGCCCTTGACATCCGAGAGAAATCATGGCGGCGACTTCGAGAGAACATTACCCGGAGGGCCTGTCCGGTGAACTTGCTTCTTGCGTCAGGTCAGAAGGTCGGCGGCAGAGTAACGATGATAGAATAACTGTGCTGATGGCGAGAAATGAGATTGCAATCTCGCAAGGGAAGTCTTCCAGGTGTCGCGGCAAGACTGTGCGCTCCATGAAAGAAGTTCTTTCTATTGCGGTGCCGGTGAAGTTCGGATATAATTATATACGTATCCGCTCTAAAACTAGGTACTAAAATGTCATTACAGCAAACCAGCATGTGTCGAGCTGGTTACTCGTGGTTGTAATGCTGAAAGGGAAAAAGAACGTCTTTGGGATATAGTGGCTGCCCCACGACGTGGACCGACGCTAACTGCCAGCAACTGTGGTTCAAACACCGGGTCAGGGTCCTGCATTTTCTCCTACCAAACATTCACCGACGGCTTAAAATATCGGGAAACAATCGACACCGTGGTAGCAGATCGGGCTTTCGGTGAATATTGGGGCATATTCATTTCTTGTAGGCTACCCATTATAAAAGCAACCAGGTGTTGGCCCTCTGCGGTACACGGCAGTTGTCTTAGCTAGCTTCAGTTTCACCCCGGTATCGGGCAACGGTAATCCAGATGTGGCCTTCCGCAATCAGTTAAAGCGAGACGTGCAATCTAAAAAGGAAGGCGCAATGTCAGTGTCCTTCCACATAGCGTAAAACTATCCACGCGGACCATAGGTGAATATATTGCAAGTGCACGAACAAGCGGCGGGAGATTGGCCGGACATACGGCGGCGTTCAACATGGAGAACCGTTTACGCAGTGATGTGCGATGGGCTACGAATATAAGATGGTTGCTGGACACCTACAATGCGGTTTCGACCTGCCCAAAACCGAATCAGCAGCTATCTTCTTACACGTTTACTCGTATTGACCATGTTGCGCACTGCTATTGTCGTTTCGCTCCTCGCCGCCGCGGCCCATGCAAGGTCTGTTCTGGTCCCTCGCGACGATGAAAACTCTCAGACCAGGCAGTCCAAGCGAGGCGATGTCCTGATGAACAACTGGTGCGGCCCTGTCAAGCAGGTGAACCAGGTAACCTCTGTCGAGGCGAGCTGGGCCGTTCCCTCTGTCTCGCGACAGCAAGGCACCACAGATGATAACTGGTTCTACCACTGGGTTGGCATTGACGGCGTGGGAAATTGCAATGTTCTGCTGCAGGCTGGCACTGGTTCCACTGTGAGTATCTCTTGGTTCCCGAGCCTTCAGCCATTGATGATGACCGACTGACGGCGACGGTGCCGTAGATCTACAACGGCTTTACCGACACGTACGCCTGGTACGAGTTCTATCCAGGCAACATGACTTACGCGCGTGAGGTGCCGGGTATGACTTTCCTATCTCTCTTTGTAACAATAACATGCAATCAGCGAGGACTTGAGGCTAACTATTCGCCATGCAGTTGCTCCAGGAGACAATGTCTACGTCAGTGTCCTCGCAACATCCACCACGACTGGTACAATGTAAGTCTCTTGACAAGATGAGCCATCAGTTTCTTCTCAGAGCACAATAACTGACTCAAAGCCTCAAATTTTAGCTACATCGAGAATCTGACAAGCAGGAGGTCGCACACCTACTACCTGCAGAGCGATTTTGGCGCTCTATGCCTGCAGCACGCCGAGTGGATCGCTGAAGCCCCCGGCATGCCTCTCCCCAACTTCTCGACATTTAGCATGACGGGAGCGAAGGGGGCGACCGCGGGGGGACAGACCTTTGATATGCAGGGCTCGGACATGGACTACATGTACCACTTCGGGCCTTGCCACGCGCAGCTGCAGGGCGGTTCAGATGTAACGTTCTACAACAGTGTCTAGTGTAGGTATAGTTGGACAGCGATTCCTGGGAAGCATGTCACTTTGCAGAGATCGTACATGTGACGGAGCTACGTGGGCAAGTATATGTAAATCTCGTGCACCAGGGGCCTAGGCAACAAGCCTGCGAAAAACCGCAGTTTCGTGGCATGCGGAATGGCACGCAGAATGGCACGCAATAATTGAGGTTGCTATAGTCACTTGTTCTGACTAGCTTTGCTTTGCTTGCAAACTACCCTGAGCCACCTTGACGAAAATGCACATTACATCAGTGTTAGTCACAAACCAGACAGCCCAGTATTGTGTGGTATCCTTTCTATTTGATGCCGAACCAAGTTTGTCATGGACATTAATGTGACGCTTGGGGTATTTGTCTCTGCAAGATCTTGGGCCTCTCATACAGCCCGGGAACAGTACTTGCCGTGAAACATACCATCTGCCGGTTACTTGGTGGCCGGCTGGGATACGTCAAACCGTGCCTGCTCTCTCGTATCACGAGGCTCAGTTGGCCCACCAGCGAGTTGCCGACAGCCAGCACTGGCCTGCCAAGATATTTTGCTGTTGGCTGCGACACTTTCAATAACAATAGTGCCCAAAGCCCTCTTCCGTCTCGGTCGTGTTGGTCGCCGGCCCTCGTCTAACGTGTCGGGAAGATCAAGCAACCCGACTTCCGATCGTGGATCGGCCTCCTCCGCATAATAGTTCTCCAGAAGAAATTCGACAACCACACTAATCAGACCACCTAATCACCACAGTTTTGCAAGATGGCTGACCACGGCTTGCAGAGCGATGAACAACGCCCGCTCCTACCACAACCTCGTGATGGCACCCCCCCTGAGGTTCCTCGGGATGGCGCACGAGTCACAACGTCGCAACGCGTGGTTGTCATTATCATCTGTCTCGCCGCTATGTTCAGTTTCGAGATTGGCGCCGGTCTCGTCGACATTTCGTCCAGCCAACTTCTAGAGGGCATCATCTGCTGCGAACACCACGACGACGTCCCCTACCCCCCAACAGACCCGCGCTGCAAAGACACGGATGTCCAAGCCGACTTGGCGATGCTGGTCGGCTGGCAGGCGACGTGTATCTTCATCCCGGGACTGCTGACATCTCTGCCATATGGGGTTGCCGCAGACAAGTATGGTCGCAAGCCGATTCTTATGTTGTCTTTATTCGGCTTGACTGCAGTCACAGCATTCAATATCCTTATCTGTGCGTCCTCTTCTTGCTCACCGCCAGGGAGTCGCTGTTAATTGAAGTGTTCCACAGTCCGCTACCCCGAGGTCTTCCCATTACGCCTAATTTTGCTGGTGGCATTGTGTACCGCCGTCGGTGGAGGGCCTTCTGTCCTCAATGCCATGGTCTGTGCCATCTGCAACGACGTGTCGACAGAGTTACAGAAGTAAGCTATGACATCGGCGAACTAAAATCCTTATGGCAAGGACGCTTACATGCGGTTTCGATCCGCCACCTTCTTCCTGCTAGCCGCAGCAAATATGGGTGGTGAGCTTTTAGGTAGTCCGATGGCGTATCTTGCCATGCAACGAGGCGCCTGGTTCACAGCTTTTCTCGGTCTCGCACTAATGTGCTTGTCCATGGTGTGCGCCCTCGCTTTGCCGGAAACTCACCCGAGAATGGCTGATCGCCCGCGGCCTCAGCAACCCGACGAACCATGCGCTGCGCCGCCTTCCACCAAAGGACTTCTATCGCTGTCTGCCATGAGAAAGGGGCTGGGCGGTTTCAAGACTGAGCTGGCTAAGTCCTTTCGGGTCGTATTTTTGGACGATAAGAGGATCGGAATTCTGCTCTCAGGCTTTGTAGCCAGCAGCCTGGGCAGGTTTGCTATGTCACTCCTTGTTCAATACGCCGCGAAACGTTATGGTTGGTCTTGGTCGCAGGTACGAGTCGTTTTTCGTCGCCGCCTGATTCAAGCTAATATTGTGCAGGCCGGCCTATTAGTATCCGTCAATGCGCTCGGCTGTCTTGTTCCGATCGTTATCATTGTGCCGCTGGCCAGCCGGGCTCTCACGAAACTATCCATCCCTGCGCTTGTCAAAGATCTTTGGATCGCTCGGATCAGCGCAGTGTGTCTTGTCATCGGGACTTTTGGAGTCGGACTGGCACCCACAGCAGCTCTAATGGTCATCGGCCTGGTCGTCTCAGCTTTTGGGTTCGGGTACGGGCCGGCAATGAGAAGCTTGCTCACTGCTACAGTAGGCAGCGACCAAGTTGCCATGCTTTATGGCATGATGGGTCTCTTGCAGAACACGGGACTAATCATAGCCGGGCCACTCATAGCTGTAGAGTTTCGTGTCGGATTGGAATGGGGAGGCTTCTGGGTTGGCTTGCCCTTTCTAGCTGCTGGATGCCTGTGTTCTGTCGCTGCCGTCATAATCTTTGTAGTGGATGTGGTCGACGTGTGCAAGAGAACATCGGCCAGCTAGGATGACCAATAAAGGGTGGACGAAACTCGAAGTGCAATGCACTTCTTGAACACATCTCACGCATGGCGCTGCAACCGGCCCTGCCTTGAGCAGAAGCCAACGATTTGGTGGTGATTCGGGCTTGCCAAGGATTTTCTGAAATCCATTGACGAGAATTCTTCCCAATGGCGCCTGGGCCAGCATTACATAGATCCGGAGCGCGAAATTGGGCTTTGCTTTTCGACACGGTCCACCGGGAGCGGCGTCAGATCGCAACGGTAGTGTCCTGCTTGCCGTGGACATACGACTGAAGACGAGCGTACAAGCGGGGGTGCAAATTAAGTCTCCTGTCCAAAGCCACTTCTCAAGGCCGCAGTCAGTTGCGCGTTCCGCCTGGATGGTTTCTTGAAGTACTTGCTTCTTTGGGCGGGTAATATGACATCCCCGCCGGATCACGACAAAAGAGTGTTCCGAACTGAGGCGAGCTCTCATATGGTCAGTTGGGCCAGTACGAAGCACCTGCTACTTCGACGATGCCGTTGGTTGATGCCGACAGACTTTCTTCGCCCAACAGCGGGGAGGCGGCGAAGCAGATTGCGTGGCTCCTCCGTGGTTGTGGCAGCCCACGCTCAAGTCTCAGACTTCGTGTTCTAGCTACGAATCGGACATGCCCCAATCATTAATGAACAGCATGTAACTTGCGCTTCGTAGCATTTCGTACACTAAACCGCCGCGCGCGAGCTAGAAATCATCTGCTCAGCCTCAACGAGCGAGCGGGCGCCGGTATGGATTGGCCTTGGGACAACACTTTCGGTCCTCAACGGCATGGCGATTTCGACTTCACGCTGCTCTTTGAGCAAACAATCTTGTCTATCTTTCCTTCTTCTCTCTTAATCGCTGCCTCCTCGATATACATATATCGTCGCATTCGAAAGCCAGTCGTTGTTCGCTCTGGGGCTCTGCTATGGACCAAACTCGTAAGCGTGCACATCGCGTGGTGCGCTCAATACTCTCTGACGATCCGTACAGGCCGCCACGGGGTTTCTGCTTGCGACAGAGATTGGGCATGCCGTAGTCTGGATTTGGGCTTCAGGATGGCATCCTAACACGGGGTTCGCCGCGGCGTTGCTCTCATGCATCGGCGCGGTGTGCATTATGTCCACCGTCTGCGCTGAGCATCGGCACTCGCTTCGACCCTCTACGCTTCTCAGCATCTACCTGAGCATCACAGTTCTCTTTGATATTGCCAGAGCTCGGTCATACTTTCGGCGGCCCGGCATGGCAACTCATGGTGGTCTCTTAACTGGCATAGCTTTCTTCAAAGCCTCTCTTGCCATCTTGGAGGAAGTTTCGAAGCGCTCTCTCTTCAAAAGTCAACGAGGCCGTTCATCTCTGGGGCCCGAGTGCACGAGCGGATTCTGGACTCGATCACTGTTTCTGTGGTTAAACTCAACTCTGTTTCTAGGCTTCCGGAGGATCCTAAGCGCCGATGACCTTGACGATATTGGTCCAAAATTCAGCTCAGCTCGCCTTCTGAAGAAATTCGAACTCTACTGGGCAGCGAGTAAGCCGTTCGCCAACGAAAACTGACGGCTGCCTGTATGCTGAAGAGAAGTAGCCAGAAAATCATCAAAGTTCTGCCTGAGTACCGCCTGCTTCCGCAGCGTCTTGGGGCCCATTTTGGCACCTGTTCTTCCTAGACTGGTTTACACGGCATTTACGTTTGCGCAGCCCTTCCTCCTCCAGGCTGTCGTCAATGCTTTGGGCCGAGAACACTTACCTCGCGACACCATTGGAGGACTGATTGGAGCTACAATCCTCATATACGTCGGAATGGCTGTACGTTTTGTCAGCCGTCGTTGCCTGACTGATGAGCCGTTTCAAGCAACCGTGCTAATATAACGCAAAAGATCAGCCATGTTTGTTACCAACATCTAGTGTACAGGCTTGCCACTCTAGTCAGAGGCGCCCTCGTTTCAGCTATCTTCAACAAGACACTGAAGCTGAAGGCATCTGAAGCACAGAAAGCTGCCGCTGTTACTCTGATGAGCACTGACATCGACGGCATCGAACAGGGACTTGTCATAGGCTTCGGCATCTGGGCCAGCTTAATCGAGCTGGCAATTGCCGCCTACCTTCTGGCAACGCTCGTCGGTGGGGCATCCCTCCTCGTTGTGATTCCAGCCTTGAGTAAGTCTCCCAACCTCATGGTCGTTCGCAAGCTGATGAGAGTCAAAACTGCATGTAGTTTCTAGCGCTGTGTCGGCCCAAGTGGGAAAAAGAATGGTCCCGGCTCGCAAAGCTTGGAACCAAAAGGTTCAGACACGAGTGGCGACCACATCAGACGTCCTCGGCCAGATAAAGAGCATCAAGATGAGCGGCTTGTCCCCTGCGATATCCAAGCGAATCCAAGGTCTTCGAGTTGTGGAGCTTGTGTACTCCAAGAGGCTGCGAAGGCTGATCGTTGTGATGCATTCAACCGGTAAGTCCCATACGTAGGCCGCTGTCGAGTTTTGTTGACATGTGCTTTGCAGCCTCCTTTGCCAGGGACATCACGCCTGTCGTTGTGATAGCGGGCGGCCTCTTCTGGACCAAGGTCTCGGGTCGTTTGAGCGCTGTTGATGCTTTTACAACCCTTTCAGTAGTTGCTCTCATCTCAGAACCTGTGGCAATGCTGCTCCTGGCATGGCCCATGGTTGGTAGCCTTGTGGGTTGCATGCAACGCATACAGGCGTATCTCCTGCTCGAAGAGCGAACGGACACGCGTGCGGTGATGGGGACTTACCAACGAAGCAGCGACACACAAAAGCAAGAAAGTGAATGTGCCCAAGGCACTGAGCTCAAACTACTATCGAGGGGGGTAAAGACGCAGGGCGACTCGCCGATTGACGCGGCCGCCGTGGAGCTTTCAGATGCATCAATCGCCGCCGGGGATGGCGGCGGGGACCCAATCTTACGAAATATTAACATACTTTGCCCAAAGTCCAGCTTGACTATATTTGTTGGGCCGGTCGGCTGCGGAAAGTCGACGCTCCTCAAGGCTATTTTGGGCGAGGCAAAGGTAACGACGGGTGTGGTCCGTATTCATACCGACCGTATCGCCTATTGCGGTCAGACGCCATGGCTGCAAAACGTCTGTTTACGTGACAATATTCTCGGAAGTAGTGACTTTGACCCGGGCTGGTACGAAACAACAATCCGCGCGTGCATGCTTGAGAACGACATGCGGCTGTTCCAAGATGGCGACCAGACGCTTGTGGGTAGTGGCGGCATTCAGCTAAGCGGCGGTCAACGGCAGCGAGTGGTACGGCTTCAACTGTATCGCAACGGATGTTGGTTTGTTAACTCTTCTTCTGTAGGCATTAGCCAGGGCTGTCTACTCGCGTCGTCCAATCCTCGTGCTGGACGACGTGTTTAGCGCCTTGGACAGGAAAACTGCTCGAGCAATTCTCGCTAATCTAATGGGAGACGACGGTGTTCTGCGCAAGTCAAGGACAACAGTGATTCTGGCCACCCATTCGAGTTCGTATATCGTCTTTCGTCTTTAATCTCCCAATCAGTTCTGACAGTGACGATAGTTGAGCATCTGCACAGAGCAGACAAAGTCTTTGCCCTGGACACAAACGGGGGCGTCCGAGAGCAAAGTCTCTCAGAAGTAAAGTCGGAAGCCAACTTAGCACGGATCACCGTTGAGGACGACGACACCGAGGAGTTGGAGGGCAGTGCAAACGATCAGCAGGCCTCCGCCTCCCCGAGTCCGCCCTCCGTAGTCTCCTCCGAGGACGCTTATGAGCGACAACGAGGAGACTTCTCGCTCTACGCCTTTTATCTCCGATCGATTGGAATTGTGCTCGTGGCGTTGTGGTTATGCACGGTCGTAGTGTCAGCGGTCGCAAACAGGATACCCCGTACGGCCTGGGCACCCTTGTCTTTCACCTTCTCTTGCCACTGACATGACTCCCAGAAATTTTTGTACGAATATGGCTGGACAAAGCTCCCGAGAACAACAAATTCTTTGCCGGATATGCAGTCCTCAGCGCAACGGCTTTTATGTGGGATGGCGGTATGATCGGGTATGTGTGAAACGCCAAATCCTCCACGAAGGTGGTGTACGCACGTCGACATGGATGCAGTCGGAGCAAAGATAGCATCCTTACTGAAGCTTGCACAGGTTGTACTTGCTGAAGCTGGTACCTACTTCCGCCGAGAACTTACACTGGTTGCTACTGGATACTGTCATGAAGTGAGGCTCACGTCCATCGTGCACGCCGGAAGTGCGTCGTTTACTGACATCTCACCAGAGCAAAGCTGAGCTTTCTTACATCCACAGATGCTGGACTTCTTTTGAACAGGTTCTCGGAAACTTTTATAATAGGAGCCGAGGCGTTAGCTAACGAGTTACACCAGATTCAGTCAGGACATGACCCTCGTCAGCCAGATATTGCCCCTGTCATTCATGTTCTTTGCACAGCGTGCGTCGCGAGTCCCACAATGTCGCCATTGAGTCCTTTAGAACTGACCAGCTCGAAGACGCATTTTCCCTACTAGCAGATATAGGAATAATTGCGTCCGGCGCAGCATACACCGTCGCGGTCATGCCGTTCATCGCAGCTGCACTATACTTCCTCCAGATGTACTACCTCCGCACGTCCCGCCAGATGCGACACCTCGACCTGGAAGCCAAGTCGCCCTTTTACACGCAGTTCACCGAGACGGCTGCCGGCCTGCAGCATATCCGGGCCTTTGGCTGGCAAGACGACGCCATGCAGCGGGGCTTGGCGTCGCTGGACCATTCGCAGAAGCCCTATTACTACATGTTCTGCATCCAGCGATGGCTGATGCTCGTGCTGGACATGCTCGTCATGGCAATAGCGGTTGTGCTGGTAACGTTTGCGCTTAACTTTACGCACACGTCGTCTCAGTCTGCCATCGGGCTTGCGTTATTGAATGTCATTACATTTGGTGAGAATCTCGCCACCTTGCTTGACTCTTGGATCAGCTTGGAAACGTCGCTGGGAGCTATTGCTCGCCTCAGGTCGTTCACCAACGAAACTCCTGTCGAGACGGATCCCGCACCTGTGCTGGATGCGGCGCTGCCGAAGAATTGGCCAGACCGCGGCAGGATTGACTTTCAAGACGTCACGGCCAAGTACGAGTGAGTTAGGCACAATTACCAGCCGTTTGACCTGGCTGCTGATTCTACGTAGCGTCACCGACGAGACTGCCCGGCAAGTACTTGATCTGTCTGTGACCATCGAGCCTGGACAAAAGGTCGGCATCGTGGGGCGGACAGGAAGGTTCGTTGACATCCGTTCTCGCTACGCTTTACGTATTGACTCTACTGCAGCGGAAAAAGCTCGATGATACTAACGCTCCTTCATCTGCTCGACCACACCGGTTCCGTGCTCATCGATGGCGTCGACATATCCCAAGTATCACGTCAACATATCCGCTCGCGCATCACCACCCTCCCCCAAGACCCAATTCAACTTCGCGGTTCCGTGCGCGAGAACCTTTGTCCAGAAGGCCAGTCGTCCGCTCGAGCAGGCACAGCTGATGATGCATCGATGATCAGCGCCTTGGCCCGGGTCGGCTTGTGGGAAAACGTCTCTGCCCAGGGTGGCCTCGACGTAGACCTCGACGACATTGGTCTTTCACATGGGCAGAAGCAGCTGCTGTGTCTCGCGCGAGCGATCTTGCACCACGCTGCCATGGGAAGCAAGGTGGTTTTGGTGGATGAGGCGACGAGCAACATGGATCATGAGACGGACGCAAAGATGCAGGCCGTCATGGCAGAAGCCTTTGCGGGGTGCACTATTCTTGTCGTCGCGCACAGGCTAGAGACTATCGAGGATGCAGATGTGGTCTTGTCGCTGGAGAACGGTCTGCTTGTGAAGGTGACCACAAGGGAGAGGACGCTTTGAACAATTGCACCGCCGAAAAGTGCGTATACAAGAGCATCAGTGCAGCTTTACATTCTCTACCTATCTATTATCCGTCTATGTAGCCGTAACCGTAACGCCAGATCACCGTCCGCGTGAGGAACCGGCCTCAAACTCCTGTCTATTTAGTATGGTCGCAAGATTCGAGCGGCGCCTACAAGTCAGGAATGACATCTCCATTCATGAGTGCCACCCGCGCTGAATCGAGCTCGCCAGCCGCAAACTCGTCCATCTTAGCCTTGTCGACGTTATCAAAAGAGCCCATGAAGTTTGGGAGCACGCGCGTGCACTCGGTCAATGCATTGATGTTGTACACCCCGAGAAGACTGAGGCGAACATACTCTCTGGCATATGCCTGGGAAGAACATTGTTAGCCAAAGACAGTAATGAATTACGTCAAAATGCAGATGTAATGAAGGAAGGCAGGCAGCGTACCTGACTCCAAGTAATTTGCCCCTTCAGGCTATTCCCGTACGCCTCAAACATGGGGCGCGTGCGGGCGTCGTTTGCCAGATTCACGTCGCTAGGAAACTTGACCAGCCTCGGCGGAGCTTTGCTGCTAAGGGTCTCCTTGAAGTAGAGATTGTCCCAAACCCCGGGGGTGCTGTCCTGAGGGTCGAGCGCGCGGTCGGTTTGGAAGAAGCGTTGCTGGCTGACGGTGTGCGAGCCCAGCAGGGCAACCAGCCCCGCCGCGCTGATGGTCTTGTTGGCGAACAGTTCGATGAGCTTGTCCGCGTCAGCCTTGGGCGACGGCAGAAGGCCCTCAGGCGCGGGATCGCTGCTGTCCTTGCGACCGACGAAGAAGCGCACCCTCGGTCCCAGCGGACACGCCACGGTGCCGACGATGGCGCTCAGCTGCACGAGGTCCGCCATGCCGACGCCGTAGTCCTTGTACTTGCCGTGCCAGGTGCGCACGAGGTCGCATATCTCGTGCAGGCCGCTGTTGGACTTGCGCGATTCGCACTCGCCGGCGAGGATGATCGACCCGTCGGCACCGCCCTTGGCCCCGTTGCCCTTGGCCCAGGTGCCGGCGTCGTGAAAGCCGAGGCGAACGGCGGCGCGGGCGAAGTTGTTGCAGCGACCGGCCGTGCCTACCATGGCGTCGCGCATCTCGTCGGCGATGTACTTCCAGATGCAGCACTTGTCTTTGGCACACTCGGTCGAGGTCTTGGATGGAACCTTCTTCGCCTGCGAGGAGAGGTCGAAGCCTTCCGCTTTGCCGGTGAGAATGTCTCTGACAGCCCTTCCCGTCGGCGTAAGGTCCTTGTCGGCAAGAGTTTCGAGATCTCCGATGAGGGAGTTCGATAAGTCGCTCTGGCGCTTCTGTAGCTCCGCCAGCGTCTTGTCCATGCCGGGAAAGGCAGAGGCCAGGCCGGCCATGGCCAAGCTTGCCGCAAAGAAGTAGTTCACCAGCCTCATGGTTGACTGGGTGTCGCCGCTGTGATGTGTGACAAGCTCGCAGAAGTTTCCGCGAGGCAGGATCTCTCGGATCTATATCTACGTACATGACCGTTCCTGAGGGTCCCTGCCGCTGCATGGCGGGAGATCTCCGTTCAGTGAGCGCCGTTGCCAACCTCCGGCGTACGGGAGTTCGAAACCTCCCATCGCCGAAGACGCATAGCTAATCCTTCTAGAATGTTGCATCGGACCCCACTCAGGTTAAGTGTGTACAGATGACTGAAACACGTACACCAATTGCCGGTCCGAGGACTGGACTTGTGAAGGAAGCGGCATACGGAAAGTCACAGGATACTCAGCGGGGCTGAGCATACATCCAGGCCATGGTCTGCCAAACGTGAAAGCTCTTTGTCCCGACGTCAAGACTCGGCAAGTTGAGCACCAACTGTTCCATTGATGCCTCTTCCGCATAGTGTTGACAATTGATTGAAACTAATTGCGACGTCCAATCACATGTTTTGCAATGCCAATACAGCATGGCTGCCATTTCGCGTTGTTAGCTAGCCGTGGCGCTGGTGCATGGTGATCGCCGAGATGCAGCGGCGGCAGCTGACGGAGGTCCGGAACTCGGGTGTGGTGCCACAACACCATAGCTGGCTTAACCTTATTCCAAAGGTCGTTGTCCAATAAACGGCTGTCGGTTTCCCAGTACTTCCAAGTCTCATCGGACTCGCGGAAACATGTCTCTTGGCTCAAGCGCGGCGGAGATCGTCCAGCTCAAGCCGCCAGAGCTGCGCACCTCCGCCGACTAGCCCTGTGATCCGATGGACCAAATCTTGAGCGAGGATTCATCGAGAACCCGGCTTTGACTTCCCTCGTCAACAGCGTCGCCGAGCAAATGGTCCGGTGAATGCTCCCAAGCACCGGAACAAGTAGCCACGACTGACCCGCAGCTATGCAGGATCGTGCTGCCAACGGGCGAGTCGTGGGCCTTCCATTCCCACGACGGTGGCGCAGGTCCCTCTTGAAGTCCGACGTTGTCCCACACTCGAACGTTGCCGTCCTGGGAGCCTGCCCAGACCTCAAAGCCAGTGGACCCGTACATGTCACCTTGAAACACATCACACGTCAACCTCTGCTGACTGAAGCATGTTCGACCCGTCAAGACACTGAGCAGCTTTCCCGCGCCGCGGATATCATACACGAGAAGTCCGCTCGAGTGCCGTTCGTTGATGATGAGATAGCGGCCGCACGGGCTCCACGCAACTTGGACAATGCCTTGACCGTCAACGTCGAGGCCAAAGTTGGCGCTGGCAGCTTGCGATATGCTCCAGTTGGCAACAACCTTGTCCGTGCGCCCGAGGTCGTACATGCCCATCCAGCGAGTCCAGGTTCCCGCGGCCACAAGCAACCCTCCGTCGGCGTCGTAGGGAGAGGCTGCGAGGGCTGAGACGGTTCCTTTCATGCCAACGCCGCTCCCTTTGGAGATGTGTCTCTTGGACGGGATAGTCGGCACCGTCAACAGAGGTCCATCAGAGCCATGGCGGGAGACGTCGAAATAATCGAGGCGGTTGGCAGATCCGCAGAGGAAGTGAGTGCCTGGCTGCGGCCAAATCATGGAATTTGGCGTGATGTACTGCTCAGTCTCCTTCCTGATGAGCCTGTACGCCCCCAGTGGCGTTGATTGCGCATCTGGGTCAGAAAACGCATGATAGAGATGAATGGGGTGGTCCCTGCAACCGACGAGATACGTCTGCGAGGCTGGATCCGCCAGGCTGAAGAAAGGCGCGGCGGCGATGGCATGCGTGGGCTCCGGGAGATGGGCCGTGGCCTGGGGTTCCAGCACGAGGTCTTGGCCGGCAGATTGCAGGAGGTCGGCCGGGAGGACAAAGGAGGAGACGGAGTTGTCTGAGGCGCCGACGATGACAGTGGTGCCGTCGGCCGTCCACTGGGCGGACGAGTAAAAGAGGCGCCGCTTGGATGCAGCAACAGGGATGTCGTCATTTGCCGTCTCCCTCTGCAGGTCATCATTCGACTGCGGCTGCGGCGTCTCGCTTCGAGCGGGCCGCCGTGCCAGGAGCTCGATCTCTGGCATGCCTCCCGGTCCCTGGGTCGTTTGTGCTTGTTGATCAGGGGCGGCGGTGGCCGCAGCGTCGACGACGCGGGCAGTCTCTGTCTCGGGCGAGGTCATTGTTGGCTCCTCCCTTGACGCCCAACTGCAGCGGGCGCGCGATGATCCATGAAGCAGGCGACCGATTTTGGATGCCGATCTACGGCTGTTGGGCGGCGCGCGTGCTGTGCTGGGGGACGATGATGCGAGGGTGGGTGGTGGATGGGCAATTTGGAGAATGGGATGTCGAACCGGCGTGTGCAAACTATGGAGCTCTGCAGTGTTCGGTGCATCCCAGCGCGGTGAAAGCCTGCCTCGGGCACCGTGCCCACCGCGACAGTGCCATGTTGCGCTGAAATGCCCACTGGAGCGCTGCGTTGGCAGGGGCCCTAGCGTGCCGGGGAGCTGCGCGGGCGACGTCATTGGGGCTGGGGGTCCCGTTGCGGGCTAGCGCAGGACGGGGCGCTAGGGGCCGCGTTAGTCTCGGATACAGGCTTGGCGTACCGTCTGCGCGGGCCGTGGGCGTGGGAAGACCGGACAAGCTGGGCGCGCACTAACAGCGAGCATCACGAAGGTGGGCCCATGGCGGGCGCTGGCAGCGGGCAGGGCAGGCCAGTGGAGCCCAGGCTCGCAGGCTCCCGCGTCCCTGCGCCGCCTGCCCAGCCCAGCACAGGCCTCAACAGCCCAGTCATCCTCGACTCGGGACTCATCTTGCCTCGCCTCGCCTCACCTCACCTCACTCCATCCCCGTCGACTCCGCTCGCATAGCCGCCTTTCGTGCCCGTCCTCTCCCTCAACCCGCCGCCGCCGCCGCTGCTGCGAAGTCTCGGCGTCGCGTCTGCGCTCCCGTACAGCCTCCGAGCCGCGGTCTGCCCGGGGCGCGCATCCGCAAGGCTTCACTCTTCCATCCCGCCTGCGCCTCCATACAACAATGACGGTCTCGTAGAGCTGGCGCTCCGTGGCTCTTTCTCTCCCCAGGCAAGCCGAAAGCCCTGATCTAGCTACATTTCTGTCCGCCCGTGTGGCCTCTTTGTTTCATCGTCGCCTGCGGGCCACTGCTGCCATCCTCTGGCTCTCTTCACGACCAGCCAAAAGCCATGGACCTTTTGCAGTCGACCACTGCCGAGTGCGAGAGGCTCAAAACGCCCTCGTACCTAGAGCTCATCGTGTCCATGTAAGGCGCCCCGTTTCACCCGGAGGAGTTCCGGCTGGTCCGCGCTCTGAGGCTAACCGAGCATTGCCCAGCTTCATCTTGATCGGACTCTTGATTTCATACCTTCCACAGCACTATCGCATCATCTCGCGCGGGACATCTGAGGGCATATCGCCATATTTTGTTCTACTTGGCACCACGTCTGCCACCGCTGGATTCGCCAATATCCTGACCGTCCCGCCCTCGCGCGCCGCCATCGGCTGCTGCAAGGAGCTCGAGACCTTCGAGTGCGCCGCTGGCTTGCTGGGCGTGGCCCAGCTCGGCATGCAGTGGCTATGCTTCGCTCTCATGTATGCCACGGCCACCGTTTTCTATCTGCCATCTCTTGCTGACAGCGTCTTCAGTCTCGTTTTGTTCCTTATCTTCTTCCGTTATAGAGAGGCAAATGTTCCTCAGGAAGAGTTAGGCGGAGAGTCGCCAAAATGGCAAACGGCCGTTGCCGTGGGCCTGCTCTGCGTCGTTCACGGCCTTATCGTCATCATCGTCACTGGCGTGTTTGCCATTGCTCTGCCCAACCACCTCACCGTGTGGGCCAACGTCCTCGGCGTCATGGCGGCTGGTCTCGCGGCCATTCAATACGTCCCGCAGATCTGGATGACGTACCATCTGAAGCACGTCGGGAGCTTGAGCATCCCCATGATGTGCATTCAGACACCCGGCGGATTTTTGTTTGCGGCCAGTCTATACGCGAGGCTCGGGCCCGAGGGCTGGAGTACTTGGGCCATTTATCTACTGACGGCCGTCATGCAAGGCACCGTGCTGGTTCTCGGTGTGTATTACGAAATCGCTGCGCGCCGGTACGACGGCCACGGGGCCGAGCACGGCGTCGACGGGCCACACTCACCGGTCGACGGCACGGCAGCGGCCCCCCGCCGGCCGTCTGCCAATCGGACCTACTCGGAGGGCTGGGAGCGCGGCCTCCCCGGACCCTTCACTGGCCACCCGGAGCGCTACGCCGAGACGGAGGAAGATCTTGACCACATACAGGAGCGCGAGGAGCGGGCCATTGCGCGGGAGAACCAGCCGCTTCTACGTCCCGGCGGAATAGGCAATCCCCGCAGGAACTATAACTCGACTCGGAACTGATTTACGCGACCAACTAAAGCATCAGCGGAATAAAGAGTGGGAAGACGAGGGGCGCGAAGAGCAGAAGAAGCGAAGACTGGGTTCCTTTCCATGTGTCTTATTAGTATACTTATTAATACCTGGACATCTCATCAGCGCGTGTTACGTCTGCAACGTTTTTTCGAGTGCGAACTGGCGTTGCATCCGCGCGCACGGAAGACGAGTCTTGACCTTGACAGTACATCATTGGCACGGGGAGCTCGTTGAGTGAGTCGCTGCTTCAAAACCTAGAACGCTCTTTGACAGCCGCGATGGTGAGATCAACGGTCTTGACAAACTCGCCTGGGGATGCACCAGCAGCTCTGCCTCGGCTGTCCAGGACGAGCGCCGTAAATGCGGGGTAGCTGGCTGGTCGTGCCTCTTGACCGAGGAAGCCATCGCGATGGACTTCCAGGGCCGATCCATCGTAGCAAGCCTCGCTTGCAGGTCCCAAATGCTCTCAGCGACGACATGCCACAGCATGCAACAGAGACGCTCGCTGTAACTGCAATCGGCCATATCTCCGTGATCTAGCAGAAGGAATTATCGATATTTCGAGTCTCCTGTATGACTGGTGACTTCACCGAGCATCGAGAGGGGGTGGGCGGTCATGACCTGGTACAGGCACTTGTCCATACGAGTGTAACAACCGGCATGAAGAGGGCAAGAGAGCGAGAGAGAGTCGGGGGTACCGGGGCCGGCTGAACGATGGCGCCGGTCTTGAGTCGCATTGCAGGGCATGACTCTCCCGACGATGCCATTGCTCAAGGTCCTTGCAGGCTGCCTGGTTCGTGATGCCATGCCTTACCGAAGCGAGCTGCAACTGGGCGCCGATCGAGGGGTAGATGGAGATGGGTAGCGGCGGTGATACCTACAAGCGAGGGGTGATCATGCATGCTGCCCAGCCCTTCTGGTGAGGTGCCGCATCGGGAAAGACAAAAGGACGGGGACCTGCGGAGGAAGAAGAGGGGAGGGTGGTTGTGATGGTGGTGCCCATCCCTGTAGGTGCGGAGTCCAGCGGTCGAGCGCACTCACTTACACCGGCTATGCGGGGAGCGGAGAATGTGCATAAACGATGGGAAAGGGCTGTACGGCATTGCGGACAAGACGACTTCCTGCATCTGGACCCCACGGGCGGAGAAGAGAGCAGCCTGGCGAGGCCCGACTATGCTCGAGATAGTAGATGGCAGCGCTGATCCGGTGTGGTTGCATGCGGGCGTCGGCGCGGGACCGCAATTGGGTTGCAACGACAATCGGCCCTTCGCCGCGCGCAGCACTGCACATTCCCATCATCCCCCATCCATCCATCTTGCATCTCTCTCTCCCTCTCCCGAGGTCCGCGCTGCCCGCGTTGTGCGCGCGCGTGCTGCTGCCCCGGTTCAGTTTAGGTTCAGCTCAGCTCAGACCTTTGACCCGCGGGTGACCGGTCAGCCGGGGGAAAGGGCACTGAGAGGGAAGTCTCGGGAGAGCGATCAACTTGGGAAAGTGAATGAGACAGCTGCGCCAGCGCGGCTATGTATGCGGTGCGACCCGGAGCGCGCACGGGGCGTGACTTCGTGTGTAAGTCGGCTGGGATGTGGTTGGGCGGGTTGGACGGCCGATGGTTCGCGCGTGGTGTATGTATGCCGAGGGACGATACAACCTCAGATTCAACTCGGCGGAAGGGCATTGGGCCGCCAGCCCTCCAGGCCATGACTTTGCTTTTTGTGGGAGGGCTGCGACTCGTGGGCCATGGGGGCATGTGATGTCTCACCCGTGATGAACTGGAGACGAGAGTGAGAGAAAAAAAAGGCCTGGTTTGTTTGTGAGCTTGGCCATATTGCCTTTAAAGATGGGGTATTGTCCCGCCCGGGAAACATGTCCCCGAATATTGAGGCCTCCCTTGAGGAATGTAGGCGCATTGGGAAGTGACTGAGCACCGAGCAGCATCAGCCTCTCTCTGAACTCGTTGACGCTCGCTCTTCTTTACGAAGAGGGCCCGATATCGTTCCGCAGAGTCCTTCCCGCTCCCTGGTTCCATCTCGTCGTCAATAAACCCCCGGTGACCGCCACTGTCACTATGGTCGCGTTCGGACTCCGGCTCGTGGCGTCCTTGGCCGTCTCGGCGGGCGTCGCCTTTGCGGCGCCTCCGTCCGCCCGGCTACTGGTGGACCGGGCGCAGGGCGTGCTGCCCAGCAAGGACCCCTGGTACGCCGTGCCGGACGGCCTCGACGCCGTCAAGCCGGGAACCATCCTCAAGCACCGGACGCCACCGAAGCCCATCGCGGCGTTTGGTCTCCTCCCCGTGAACCTCGAGGCCGCATATCAGATCCAATACCGCACGACCGACAGCCTGGGCAATGCGACGGCAACGGCATTGACCGTCATGGTACCGCATAGCGCCGATTACACGAAGGTCTTGTCGTACCAGGTGGCTGAGGACTCGGCCACCATCGACTGCGCGCCTTCATATGCGTTTCAGTTTGACCACGCCAAGGGCCCGGACATGGGCACCATGGTGACCGAGGCGGAGCTGATACTTGTGGAAGCCGCTCTCGAGCAGGGATGGGTTGTCATCGCGCCGGACTTCCTCGGCCACGATGGTGCTTTCCTGGCCAACGCTCTAGCGGGCCATGCAACGCTCGACGGCATCCGCGCGGCGATCAACTCCAACTCCTTTACGGGCATCAGTACGAACCCGACCGTCACCATGTGGGGGTATTCCGGCGGCAGCCTGGCCTCGCTCTGGGCCGCGGAGCTGCAGCCGACGTACGCGCCGGAGCTGAAGATCGCGGGCGCGGCCGTGGGCGGCACGGTGCCTAACATCACGACGGTGGTGACGAGCATCAACGGCAAGGGATCCGCGGGGCTGATCCCGACGGGCGTCGTCGGACTGATGAACCAGTACCCTGAGCTGGTGCCGGTAGTGGAGCAGCACCTGCTTCCACAGTATCGCGACGAGTTCTTCAAGGTGCGCGGGCAGTGCTTGGCAGCCAACTCGAAGCAGTTCGAGAACAAGGACATCGTGGGAATGTTCGATGACCGGAACCTCGTCTACACGAACCCAACAGCGGTGCGAATCATCGCGGAGAACGCGCAGGGGATAACTGGGACGCCGCGGATCCCCCTCTTCATCTACAAGTCGGTGAACGACGAGATCAGCCCCATCAGCGAGACCGATGCCCTCGTGGACAAATGGTGCGCGGACGGCACGCGCATCGAGTACCAGCGCGACAAGGAGTCGGACCATGAGAAGCTTGCAATCCTCGCCGCACCCAAGGCGCTGTCGTGGCTGATTGACACGATGAACGGGCGGAACCGCAACACGGAATGCGTCACGCGCACCGTCTTCTCGTCCTTGCTGGATCCGGCAGCGATTGGGGTGCTGCCCAAGATACTGATTGACGCGCTGCTGGATCTGCTGGGAAAGCCCGTCGGGCCATTGATCGGATGAACCTGTATATAACGTTACTTCGTAGTCTGTATGCGAAGTCGTGTTCGTACGTTGAATAGTACTGGAGGTCAGTGGAGGATATGCGCGTGCCTGAACGGATCGTTTCTTTCCTGAGTCACCGTGAGCGCTTTCGGCAATATTAATACATGAATTACTGATTATATGCCCTTCCAGCGCGGGAAATGTTTTTGAAGTGAAGGAGTGGCCCCTTGGATATGGCAGGCGGTTCCTTGGGTCTGTCACGTGTGCTGACGCCTGACAGCGCAGAAACCCACAGCGAAGTCTCTCACACTGACGATCATGGACCTTTCGACAACACAGCTCAGGGCGAAACAACGTCGATTTTCGGGCTGCCCTCGAAACAGCCAGCCTACACAAAGGCCCCAAGCCAAACCATGATCCCTGCTAGCCCAAATCCAGGGGAGCCCATCGGCCTACTGCCGTTCGTCTCATAATAGGCTTTGGAGCTCACGGGTCACCATCTTGCAAGTCATGTCGACGACAACTGCGAAACGCAAGCGCGTCAAAAGGGCATGTGTCCCTTGCCACCAGCGCAAGCGGAAGTGCGACTCCGAGTATCCTTGTGGCATGTGCACCACCTACGAATACGACTGCAGGTACGCCGACGATGAGGACGGCACCGTCCCGGCCCCAGCCAAGCGCGTCGGCCTCGAACGCGGCCGCAAAAGGGTGAGCTCAGCAGCCGCTGCTACATCAAGCAGTGCTTCCAGTGGGCTTTATGAAGCGCGGAGCGGTCCCCGCGAAGCAGCCGACGGCTCGTCGACGCAGAGTCCGACCGTCGTGAGCGGCGCGTCCCCAGCCACCACCGCCCCCGTCGGCATCTTCGACGAGCACAAGCCCGTATACGCCGGGGCATCGGCGGCGATGGCGTTCCCTCACATTCTGGGCGTGGCGCTCGGCTCCGACAGTACTCCCAAAATGCATTCGTTTGCCTACAACTTCGGCATCCGGCCTGAAGAAGTTTCCAGTACTCACGACCCCTTGGGGAAGCTCATCACGGAGGACGATCTCGGCTTCCTCTCGCGTGTGTACTTTTCTGAATTGGCTCCCGTCATCGACCTAATGGACTCGACGATATATGCCCGGCGATGTCGGGACTATTACCATAGCTCTGGCGGCGCTGCAGTTGCCTTTGGCGCCGTCGCCGCTGGGGTAGCCGCCCTCGGGTCGTTTCTCTCTCCCAACAGACACCCGCGAGAGTCTGAGCTGGTCCTGTACGCCAAAGCCATCCTCGACGATCCAGCCTCGATGCGCATGCTGTCCATTGACCACATCATCGCCTGGGGCCTGAGGATGATGTATTTGCGGGCCACGGCCCTGCCCAACAGCGCCTGGATTGCTTCTTGCACCATCATGCACCTCTGCGAAGCTGTGGGGCTGCATGAGGAAGAGAACATCAAGAAGCTGGCATCTGTCCCGGGCGCCGCGGCTGCGGGACATGATGCGGACCGACTGAGGCGAGTTTTCTGGGTCGCATGGGCCGGGCACAACATGCTGTCATACGAGTACGATCGCTCGGCCGTGCGATTCCGAGCCGTGACTTGCCAGGCTATCGCCCCCCTAGCAGGATCCTTTGCCGACCAGTTCGTGCGAGTAGCCCAGATCATCCCGGCGCCCAACTCCCCATTCAGCCTCGAATGTCAGCCTCCAAGTCCGAGGGAGGAGTTGTTTGAGCGTCTCAAGTCATTGGCTAAGCTCCAATTCACCCATCCATTTCTGGTGGTGACCAAGGCTGACCTCGCGTTGTGTTTTTATCGTCGCATTTACCAGCTCAAGATGGGCATATCGGATGAGATCATTCAGCTCATCATTGACAGTGGCAACGCCGCGTTGGAAGCGGCCGAGCAGCTGGCTATCCACGGCCGCCTGTTCTGGAACGTCATCGGCAGCGTCTTCCACTATGCCTGTGTTCTCTTAGCCATCGATACGCCGGCCGCCTCCGCTCACATTGCCGCTGCCTTCAAGGCATTAGAGAACCTCGTCGTGGCCGCCGACACGGGACCTATGCGTGAGGCACTGGCAATGGCACGGCGGCTACTCAGCCTCAAAATGGAAAAGAAGCGAAAAGAACTTGCCCAGTTGGAAGCTGTCGAGGCGGGCTATCAATTCTTTCAAGAACCTTCGGAATCTGAAGCCACCATCGCTATGCCGGAGTTGGGCTGGGGTTGGGATTGGAACCAGTTTCTCGTCGAGCCATATCTATCGATGCTTAGCCCTGACGTCCAGTTGTAGCAGAAAAACAAATCTATGTGAACACATCATTCTGGACGAGGCGGAGACATGCTCGGAGGTCATTCAGACCGTAGATGAATAATCACTGCCATACTATGTCATGATGCGGCTTCATACGGTGCGGTCATTGCGGCCGTTGCGGGTGTTGCGGCTATTGCGGCCGTTGCGGACACCCTGCCCTGGCGACTCAGTGTCATCGCAGCTAGCACTCGAGCCCTGTGTGCGGCTGCTGCGGGCCGCCAGAGCTGCTGAATACGAACTCGGGTTAGACTGGGGCCCCCAACCGCGGGCTAAGTTAGGCCTGATCTCACTGGCGCCGGCCTGTGGCTCTCGGGGGCCAACATCTCCCCGGCCGAACCTAGTGCAACAGCCTGCGGAAGTTCAACTCGGATATAGGACTTGAAGAACGAGGAACCGGGATTCCGGAATCCGATTACCTTTGATCAGGTTTTGAGATGGACCAAAGGCATGGAACTGGACTGGGTCTCGAATGTGTATAAATGGAAGGATATTCCGCTGCTTTGAGGAGCTGTAGTCAGACATTCACACGCTCATGCACATGCATACAGGCACGCACCAGCACAAACCGCTTAAACATCCTGACCAGCTCGACCTCTCGTCAACGAGAATTCCCAAGATGCCCAAGTACGCCAAAGACCAGCCATCTGGCTTCAGAAACGCCATCGAAAGAGTCGCCATTGTTGGGGTATTTGAACCCATCCATACCTTATGTCCACCATGTACAAAAAATGGCTAACATACACCCCCATATTAGGCCGGAGGCACCGTTGGAGCTCACATCGTCGCCTCCCTCCTTGCAGGCGGAAAGCACCAAGTCACAGCCCTCTCGCGCAAAGACAGCAGCAACAAGCTCCCCGAGGGCGTCCTCGTCGCCCATGTCGACTACGACGACGAGGCCACCCTCGTCGCCGCCCTCAAGGACCAGCAATTCCTCATCATCACGATGTCACCCACTGCGCCCCGGGACACCCACAGCAAGATCGTCCAGGCCGGCGCCAAGGCCGGCGTCCCCTACATCATGCCGAACGGGTACGGCGGCGACATCGAGGACAGCAAGCTCAGCCGGGAGTCGCTGCTGGGTCCCGTGGCCCGCGCTCACAGAGACGAGATTGAGAGCCTCGGCATGCAGTGGATCACTGTGTGCTGCGGGTTCTGGTACGACTATAGTCTAGGAGGCGGCGAGGCACGCTTCGGCTTCGACTTTGACAAGCGCACGCTGACCATCTACGACGACGGCACCACCAAGAACTCGACGTCGACGTTGGCGCAGGTTGGGCGCGCGGTGGCCAAGGTGCTGAGCCTCAAGGAGCTCCCCGACGACGAAAACGACAAGAGCCTCACCTTGTCGAGGTTCCTCAACAACGGCGTTTTCGTCACGAGCTTCGTGGTCAGCCAGAACGACATGTTTGAGAGCGTCAAGCGCGTCACGGGCACCGCCGACGCCGACTGGACCATCACACATGAGAGCACCAAGGAGCGGTACGAGGAGGGACTGGCGCAGGTCAAGAGCGGAAACATGGCTGGCTTTGGCAAGATGCTGTACGCGAGGGCGTTTTTCCCGGGTGATGCAAATGACATCTCCGCCAAGGCGCAGAATGAGCTGCTTGGATTGCCGGATGAGAGCCTGGACGAGTCCACCAAGGTTGGAATCGCCATGGCCAAGGACCTGCAGCGTCGAGCTGAGCGCATGGCTTCCTAGACGAATGCGCCTGTAAATTTTGAGTCAACCCAATATAGAGCTAGAAAATGAGATTTGCAGTTATAAACAAACAATAGTCACGAGAAAAGTAAAGTGTCGGAAAAGGGACTCAAGTATATATATGATAGTGGCGACCTTCCTCCCCAACGTCTTTCACAATCGTTGCGCCAAGAACGAGGCCGGCCGCATTGCTCAACCGGCGAGGGGCCAAAGCACCAGGAATGGATCGGTGTCGCGATGCAAATGGTCGTCGATGACAATGAGTCTGGGTCAGCATTCAAACTTTGCGTTGCAGGGCAGTATGCTGCTCTGTACGTCTCCTGGCCAGACCGACCGCAGGCAATGACGAAGTGTGAGTGATGGCTCGTGATGTGACTCCCGCGTCCCAGCAAAGATAAGCGTCGTCCACGAACGGGCCCGCATGCGTTGCGCTCGCCCCCTGATTGGTAGATTCGCCCACAACTCCGTCTGAATCATCGATGCGTCTAACCTCCGACTTGCCGTGGAGCTGTCATCAAATCGTCCCGTCGTTCACGCCGCGCCCTTAACCACCCCCGCGCTCTGCCATTGTCACCTCCGATTCCAGACATCCCGTCTGTCAAAGGCTTGTTTCTCGTTCGAGCCAACCTGGCACATCGCACTGGGCATCGTTTCCGTCTGGTCGCCTCAACCATCAACTGCCCCACCGTCGCCGTTCATCCCATTAACGCGTGATCTGTCCCACCAGATGGCCATCTACAGCGCCGTTCCTCCACCGGAGGAACTCGTCTCAAACCTCGCCCCGAGCCAGCTGCCGCCGCACACACCCTCAACGCCCGTCACCAATGGCGCCATCGACATCGACGCCTGGACGATTCAGGCCCTCCAATCGCTGAGCATCTCTCCCGTCGCCCGCGGCACCGGCACGCCTCTCGCCATCAACATCGACGATTGTAAGGTGACTGTCAAGACCGAGGCCCGCGCCCTTGACCTCGCGAAGTCGAAGACGCCAGACGTCCCGCGGCGGCCGCCGTCCGCGCGTGACAGCCAGCGCAAGCGGGACGCCGTCCTGCGAGGCAAGGAGGGCAGCCGGCAACGGCGCCGCTGGGAGAACGGTATGATGCTGCGCACAGTTGCCCCAGGTCTCCACGGCCACTAACACGGAGCCACGCGTCTTAGATCGCCTCATTGGTGTTCCGAACGTGCAACCGCCGTTGCCATCGGACTGGGAGGTCCGTCCGGCCCATCCCGTCCGCCGAGTCCCTTATCAGCTCGCCCAGTTTTGGGACCGCGGTGTGCGGCAACGCGTCGAAGACAAGACCTCGGCTCTCCAGGCCGCCCGCAAGAAGCAGCAGCGCAATGCCGGCAGCGCCACTGGTCTCGGCATCGGCGAGGTTCCCCGCGACCTGAGGGAGTCGGCCAAGCGCAACCCGGTCATCCGGAACTGGGTGCGATCTCTCGAGGATCCCGTGCGGCAATACCTCGTCGACGAGCAAGGCCGCAGGGGTGAGCCTGCACAGCCGGCTGATGATATCGAGACCGAAGAGCTGGACTCTGAGGATGAGGAGATTGTCTTCGTCGGACGTAAGAGCGCGATGAGGGAGCTCAAGGAGAAGCGGGAGGCGAGGCATCGGATGGCCCGGCGTGAAGTTGAGCACGAAATAGTCGATTCGGGCGTCGTCTTCGACTCCTTTGGTGAGGGCGACAACGCCGCCTTCAAGTGCGCATCACCTCCCCTCGCTGCCGACCACCTGCTGACGATATCCTTCAGGCGATGGCTCACCCACTCCATCTCCGACTACTATGGCCTCGCGTCCCGGTCGGTCATCATGCGCAACTCATGCAAGGTGGTGTACGTTGGGTTGCACCAAAGTCACCGCCGAGCAAAGCCTCCCTTTGGGAAGCTGCCTGTCCCGCTGTGGCAGCTATGCTGAGCTGCAAACTCTGGCCATAGATCGCTCCAGGTCGCCAGTTTTCGACACGGATGTGCTCTGCGCATGAACCAACGGATACAGGATAAACGGTGTTCCCGTGACGGGTAGTAGATGTCTTTTCGAGCCAGCTTCGTGGGCAACGATCCCCTGCTATGGCCAAATCGCAAGTGCTGTTACCATATAACAAGCAAATGTGCCAAGATCTACGCAATGACCCCGTGTTGGCTCCAGTCAAAGCCAGGTTCTGTCCAACAGTGTGCTACATCTGGCGAGGGCTTTATGCCCACCCAGCACGGTGCTATACTTTGCAATCTTTGTATGCGTTGGCATGTGGAGAAACTCCGCAAGGCCAGCGTCTCCGTGCTCGGCGTGGAGAGATCTGGACATGATCTGAGCACTCATGGCGTTCAGCCCAGATCGACGGAAAAAGAGCTCCCAGGATGATTCTTCCGAGGTGATGACGTCCACCAGTCCGGCTGTGCCCGTACTGCAACGAGACATGAAAGCCAGGATCCATTGCGCAAGTGTGCCGCTGGCGCCTGGGACAAGGCATGTCGACGCTGGTGTGTCAAGGCCAGTCACAAAGCGAGCGAAGTCGGCATACGATGCCAAATCAGATGGGCTGAGGCTTCCGCTCACCTCGCCCGCTACATTTGACTCGGAAACAAGAACGACCAACCTCTCGTACTTTTGGCTGACATGGTATATACGGTCCCGGAGAGAGGCTCGCCCTTTCGATCCTGGCAGAGGCTTTTGTCTGACTTTGACGAGGCTCGTGGCTACGAGCCCCATTGTCGCTGTAAGGCACACATCAGCCTCTACCGTTGTCAAGCAGGCGGGTTCACCTTGAACTCCAGCCTCAGCCGAAGTTTTTTCAGCCCCATGCAACGAGAAGTCTCGGTCAATCAACAGTTCCGGCGGCCAGCAGGATTCCAAGTGGCGAATAATGGACCGATCGAGTGCTAGTGACACAATGCAGGGTCCTTTTCGATCTGGTATCTCGAAGGCGGGCTTTGGTGCCCGCCCCAGCTCTTGCGGAGTTGGAGGAATTGACTCTTGCCGATGGTGAGTTGCTGGTAAGAGTGATTGAGCGGCCCGTAAAGTTGGGCCACTACTCAGTGTTCCTGCACCAGAGAGTCGCGGTCGCTTAATAGCACGCAAGGCCATGAAATCATCCAGTAGCCTAGTGGTGCTCGAAACGTTTAGATGGTTTGGTGAGCTTTTCGCGTCGAGCCCTTGTCCTTGCCGCACTGCCTGAAATCCTGTGGGCAGCGGAAAAGCAGACCGGGGAACGACCGAAGAGAGACGTTGGATGTCGGTCCCAGTTGTGAGGCTTTCAACTGAATCATCATCAGAGGCGAATGGTGAGTCGCCTGACCAATCGAGCTCCGGGTCTTCTGCTGGCTTCATGATGGTCGGGCTGCTCGTTCTGATGTTGTCTATTCTGCTCTGCAATGTCTTTGGCGGATCCTCAAGCGCTTCATACTGCCGGCTGGTCACGCTCGTGGTCAATTCCTCATCAATGGCAAGCTTTCCAGTCCCACGTGGCAGTGGGACCCATTTCAGTTCACTGTCGAGTAACGAATTTTGCGGGATGCAAGGCACGAGAAGTCTCATCGGCATAAGCGATCTGAGCTCTGAAAGATGCTGTCTGGCTGTCCAATTAAGTGCCCATTGTGCCTTTGGAATCCTGATGTCCACGAGGGGCAGTGGGAGACGAGAGATAGTGTCATATGGGCATAGCTGCTCTTGGTCAAGAGCAGTGGAGAGTTGGGAGTGACGGCTATTCAGAATGGCCAAGAGTGCGTCGTCGAAGTCCTCGCCGCGAAGTTCTTCGTGGGAGATCAAGTCAGAGCTGTCTTCCAGAACAGGGAGCTGGATTGCGTTCAGCGCTTCGTTCGCAGAGAGGGGATCCGAGACGACGGACGACAGGGGTACATCAACAGCCAGGTCAGCGGCGGAGTCGTAGTTCAATTCGTGGTCTGGGCAAATCGGTGGCGGCGACGTGATGATGACAGTGGCCGGGACCGTGATGTCAGAATCAAGGTGTCCATCACGCAATCGTGATTGAAGTTGCTGTACCGGGCTTGGAGCAGGGCTGCTTGCAGTAGATGCGAGATCAATGATGCAAACGTCCGGTCCGGGTACGAACGGCGAGCTGGGCTCAGAGCTGGAAACAGAGGATAGCGGCGGAGTGATACACCTGGGTCGGCCTCGGAGCGCCTACGTCGATCAGCGATGCTCATGCAGTTCTTCTTGGCAGTGAATGAACAACCTCGCAGAGGAAGAAGCCAGATGCCCGTGCCGAATCTGGCTCACTGCTAAGTGGCAGTCTCTTATCCATATCTTTGAGAGTCGTCTCATCGGTTATCGCTTCGATTGTCTCGTCTGCTAGTTGTCGGCGAAGGGCCAAGCGTAATTCCTCGGACGCGTGCGGAAACGCCAAGCTCTCGTCGAGTTCGGCCGGCACAGGGTCGAGGGGCAGCCAGGCCTCGCGAAGCACGCAAGTTCGCATTGATGAAATAGAATCGATATATTCGGCAGCGTCAATCTCCGGAAGCGACCCAAGATCGAGTTCACCTACGGGGAGCAGTAGGCTCTCGATGGTACACCATCGTGGCAGAAGTGAGGGCGGTCTCGATGTCGGTTCGGGCGAATCGCAGAAGTGCTGCAGAGGTTCAGCTTGCTCAGCGACAGGGGAGTCCAGCTTTATCTTTGGTTGAGGAATATGCCAGACATGCAGCCCTGGTTCCTGGTGGCGGCCCTCGGTTTCGGCTGTTATAGTCGAGGCGCGCATAGACGCCGCGTGGCTGCGCAGGGAGAATGGTGGCAGCTGGTGGTTTCGAAAGCACCCGGAGCAGCGACCGTACTCGTCTGCAGATTCATTATCAACTGCAGAACTCATCGTGCGTCATTCTGCGCGGAGCGAACGTTGTCCGGGCTTGAAGTGAAGGGATCGCGACGCTGGCTGCACTCTTGTGTCAGTTCTTCCACTGGGGCCGAGCCCTACTACTAATTTAATTACCATGGTGCCTTCCACAAAAGTTTGCTTGTAGGTACACAGGGATTTTGTCTTCTGCCGTCATGTCAAGTGGCAGGCACGCGCTGCCTGGCTCCTTCCCTCAACAGCATCGGTAGCGGGGGTTTGGATCTTGGTGTCGCACTTCGAGTTGAGCGACACCGTGTCAGTGATCGCCATCGGAACGTGTCAAGCAGAAGCAACTGCCGACGCGCCAAGCGCGCAGACCGAATAAAACGCGTGCTACTGAATGAAAGAGGGATGTGCACACAGCAGCACGTCACGGCAGACGCATCCATCAACCAGGGAGTTTCAAAGTGCTATGCCGGGAGTAGGGTAGGTTGGCGAAACATGCGGGAAGCAGAAGCTCTCCCGTTGTGGGGCGTGTGAAGCTCCCGTCCCTCAAACGCGCAGCGGAGGGGCGCTCATCAGGGAGCCCAGTCTCCCCGCCAGCGGGGCCTTCACTGGAACGAGGCGCTGTGCCCGTGTTCACCACGCCGTACCTATCGGTACCTAGGCACCTTGGATCCACCTATTATGTAGCTCAATGCTGACTTCCATCCCTCCACTGCCACTCCTGGAGCTGCCGGAGCTCTCGCCCCTCCACTCTGCTAACTCCGGCTCCAGTGACGCACGACATTGCACACAACCGTCAACCGCTTTCAATGAGGGCATGAGGGACTTTGAGTAGCTCTCCCGGAGAGCTGAATCCCTGATTCTTCTTCTTTACCTGGGGGATCGCGCCCTGACTTCCCGAATTGCCGCCTACCATGTCGTACGTCGCGCCGGTCCACAAGCCGACCAGCGTGCGCCATGCGCTGCGCATCCGGTTTCTTGATCCGGAGCACGAGGATCTCGTTCTCGCGTAAGTACCCCATGCGCTTTGGGCGGCATACGACTGCATTCGCTGACTGTAGACGTTCAGTAAGGCAAACCGGCTGGAGATTTGGCGCCTGACCGACGATGGCATGGTCTGCCTGCACACCAAGCTCATCTACGGGACCATATCGATGCTCCAACGCCTCCAGCCCAAGGACGCAACTACCGACCTTCTATTCATCGGAACCGACAGATTACAATACTTCAACGTCGCATGGAATCCGGACACGAACCAGCTCGACACTGTCGAGCAAACCATCGAAGATGGAGCCGAGCAGTATATGCGCCAGTCGCAAAGCCAGAACAAATGCCTGGTTGATCCCACAGGCAGATTCATGGCCATGCATCTATGGGAGGGCGTTCTGAACGTATTTCGCCTGCCGACGCGCAAAGGCGCCACGACGAAACTAGTCGCGCTTGACCAGGTCCGCCTCACGGAGCTGTGGATGAAGGCGAGCACATTCCTCCATAGCCGCACAGGCCATCCTCGGATAGCCTTTCTCTACAAGACCCAGCTGGACCAGGAAGAGGCCCGCATTGCCGTGTACCGACTCACGAAAGATGACAAGGGCGGGGAGGTGTCCAAGTTCGACCCGCATCGGGAACGGGAGCTCGACCAGGTGATACAAGATCCCTATGCTTCCATGTTGATCCCCGTTCCAGTCGTCGAGGAGAAGAGGTACCACGTACGGAACAATGATGGGGCCAGAGCGCATCTTGGTGGCGTCCTTGTCGTTGGGGAGACGCTGTTGACGTACTTCGACAGTCTAACGTACTCGAGCGTGTCCTCACCTCTCAAAGACCCAAAAATTTACGTTGCCTGGGCAGAGTACGACGGCATGCACTATTTCTTGGCCGACGACTATGGACGCATGGACCTTTTGACGATAGAAACCACCTTTGAGGCTACGGGCGTCGTCGTCACAGGCATGAGCGTGGCGCCTATGAAGCTCCCGGATGGCACTGCACTGACCTCGAGAGCCTCCTCTCTTGTCTATATGGGCGACAACAATCTCTTTCTGGCCTCTCACCATGGCGACTCACAGCTGCTCAAGGTGGACATCTCCAATAGATCGATGATCCCTATCAAAACACTGTCGAACAACGCACCCATCCTGGACTTCGCTATAATGGACATGGGAAACCGAGAAGGCGACAGCCAGCTAGGCAACGCCTTCTCCTCTGGTCAGGCAAGGATCGTCGCCGGCTGCGGCGCGTACCGTGACGGGAGCTTGCGCAGCATCAGGAGTGGCGTCGGCTTAGAGGACGAGGGTATACTTGACGAGATACCGGGCACACGAGGCCTGTTTTCTCTCAAGTCCCACGGCTCTACGGCAGTTGACACGTTGGTGATGGCATTCCTCTCAGAAACACGAGTTCTCCGTTTCGATCCAGATGGCGGCATAGAGGAGGTGTACTCGTTCCAGGGCATGACATTGGATCAGGAGACGCTACTGGCCACAAATCTCCCCAGCGGGCAACTTCTACAGATCACCCCGCTGTCGGTTACTCTGCTGGACCCGGAAAGCGGCATTGCGGTATCAACGTGGGATGCCCCAGAGGGAAAGACCATCACGGCAGCGTCTGCAAATGCGAAGTGGGTGTTGCTGGCTGTGGACGGCTCGACACTTGTCTCTCTGAATATCTCTGAAAGCCTGGCGGCAACGACGAAGGAAGCTTCCCATGATACCGTTTCAGGCCATGCGGATCAGATTTCATGCCTTCACGCTGCGCGAGAACCCGAGAATATAGGAGTCATCGGGTGGTGGTCGTCTGGCACGATATCTGTCGTGGAACTGGCATCACTAAAACCCCTTCAGGGCGAATCACTGAGGCAGACAGAGGACAGTGCGTCTGTTCCGAGGGACATTGCCTTGGTTCAATTACATCCATCAGCCTCTGCGGGCCCTACTCTATTAGTCGCTCTGGAGGACGGAAACGTGGTCACTTTCAACGTTTCGACAGAGAGCTACTCGTTGTCCGGACGCAAGAGCGTAATACTGGGGAGTAGTCCTGCGAGACTGCACATTTTACCCCAGGATGACGGAACGAGCAGTGTTTTTGCGACGACGGAGCATGCCAGCCTCATATACAGCGCCGAGGGCCGGATCATTTACTCGGCAACGACGGCCGACGATGCAACCTTTGTCGCTCCGTTTGACGCAGAGGCTTTTCCTGGTTCGATTATTCTATCAACAGACTACCACATCCGACTGTGCCGTATCGACAAAGAACGTCTGACACACGTCAAGACATTACCGGTGCAGGAAACGGTCCGCCGCGTTGCCTATTCACCAGGCTTGAAAGCCTTTGGTCTGGGATGCATAAAAAAGGAGTTGATACATAACGAGGAGGTCATCACGAGCACTTTCAAGCTCGTCGACGAAATCATCTTCCAGGAATTGGGAAAGCCTTTCGTGTTGAACGCATCTGCCTCGCTGGAAATGGTCGAGTGCGTGATTCGTGCAGAGCTGCCTGACAGCAGCGGAACCCCAGCTGAGCGATTCATCGTCGGCACAAGCTTCATCACCGATGCTGACGTTGCCGAAGACGGCGATACCCGTGGCCGAATCCTGGTCCTTGGTGTTGGGGACGATCGGCAAGTTTACCAAATCGTGTCCCACAATCTGAAGGGCGCATGTCGCTGCCTCGGCGTCATGGGCGACTACATTGTCGCTGGACTATCCAAAACTGTTGTTGTATACAGCTACGACGAGGAGACAACAGCATCTGGGTCGCTACAGAAAGTAGCCGCGTACCGGCCTGCGTCTTTCCCTGTGGACCTGGACATATCCGGCAACATGATCGGCGTCGTGGATCTCATGCAGTCTCTAGCCTTGGTAGAGTTTATTCCCTCACAAGACGGCAGCCGGCCGAAGCTCGAGGAACGGGCGAGGCACTATCAGCCCGCATGGGCCACGTCGGTTTGCCACTTAGATGGCGATAGATGGCTGGAGGCGGATGCGCAGGGCAACATCATTGTCTTGAGGCGCAATCAAGAAGCTCCAACGGAACAGGACAAGCGACGGCTAGAAATCACGAGCGAGATGAATATTGGGGAGCAGATCAACCGAATCCGCAGGCTACACGTCGCATCGAGCGAGTCTGCCATTGTGTCCCCGAAGGCATTCCTCGGATCGGTAAGGACCCAAATCCGGTCATTTCGGTCACCGTACTAACAAGGGGATAGATTGACGGCACCCTGTACTTGTTCGGAGACATCTCGCCCCAGTACCAGGACCTGCTCTTGACGTTTCAAGCCAAGCTTCAAGACTACATTTACGCGCCCGGCAACATTAGCTTTGACCTGTGGCGGGCCTTCAGAAATCAGAGTAGGGAAGGCGAAGGCCCGTATCGGTTCGTAGATGGAGAGATGATAGAGAGGTTCTTGGATCTCGACGAAGGGAAGCAAGAACTTCTTTGCGAGGGACTGGGACCGAGCACTGAAGAGATGCGCAACATTATTGAGGAGTTGAGGAGGATGCACTAGCCGGCGAACGGTATAAATTAGGTAGTCGTGGAAGGGATCATGTATGAGGCACGAATGATTTAGTCTGAATGAAATTGACTACCGTCGTACAATGCACTGCGGTTGTGGTCGATGAGAATTCACGGGGAGGGCTGCGCTTCGCGTCAGTCTGGCGTGACATGCTGCGGTTGTCACAGGCGCGCTGGCAGGCTGTATCGGCTGCAAAGTCGTGGAAAAGGTACGTACCGCGGGAGAGTCCGGGAAAGGCGCGCGGTGGTGGCGCGCAGCCAATAAGGGGCCGTCAATTTCGGAGCTCACGAGCTGGTTGGCAGCCTGAGGCCACGAGCCCCAGGCGTCCAAAACTTTCGGCACCAGAGGCAATCGTCACAGCCGACGGAGCCACCACCCACCGCATAGGAGGAAAAGACCTCAATCACGAAGCCAGCCTCGCAACACCCGGCCCTCCTCCACTCCCTCAACAACGATGGCGTCTCTCTCGACCGCTTCGCGCCTGTGCCTGCGCTCGGCCAGCGTCGCCAACCCGGCCGCCGTCCGCGCCGCCGCCCTGAGCACCACGGCCATGCGCCCGGCCGGCGGCGCCGCGAGCGCCTCGTACACGAGTCCCTTCAAGGGCAACGAGTCCAAGGGCAACAAGATCCCCGACTTCGGAAAGTACATGTCCAAGAGCAGCGAGGGCTCCAACAAGCTCTTCTCGTACTTCATGGTCGGCGCCATGGGCGCCATGACCGCCGCTGGCGCCAAGAGCACCGTTCAGGGTATGTTTTGGTATACCCCGGAGGAAGAGCCATTGAGCCATTGAGAGGGCACGACGTGGCTCTGCGGTGACGGGACACGTCGGGTGATTGATCGATGGAGGGGTTTTGCTGATGCATGTCCGCACAGAGTTCCTCGTCAACATGTCCGCGTCTGCCGACGTCCTGGCCATGGCCAAGGTTGAGGTCGACCTCAATGCCATCCCCGAGGGCAAGAACGTGAGTAATATTCTTTGCTCGCCGTGCATCGACCCAAGTATGTCAGTTGTCTAACCAATGTCCTTGAAACAGGTCATCATCAAGTGGCGAGGCAAGCCCGTCTTCATCCGACACCGCACCCAGGAGGAGATCGACCAGGCCAACAAGGTCAACATCTCTTCCCTCCGCGACCCTCAGTCCGATGACGACCGCGTCAAGAAGCCCGAGTGGCTGGTCATGTTGGGTATGTCCCCCTCTCAACTCCGGCGACGGTAGACATGGCGCATCTCCCGCCCGCGGAACAACGCCCGAATTTCGCAGGCATGTACTAACAAGAAACAGGCGTCTGCACGCATCTCGGCTGTGTCCCCATCGGCGAGGCCGGCGACTACGGCGGCTGGTTCTGCCCCTGCCACGGCTCCCACTACGACATCTCCGGCCGGATAAGAAAGGGACCCGCCCCGCTCAACCTCGAGATCCCCGAGTACGACTTCCCCGAGGACGGCAAGCTGGTCGTCGGTTAAAGCGCGAAAGGGAACTGTATCTTTGAGGTTGTACGAATACTCAACGGGAGAGCAGGGGGGAAGGGGCCATTCCAGCGATTCGACGAGAAGATAGATTCATCGAGGACGGCTTATGAAGGAGGGGGGAAAGGACCAGGAAAAAGAGGACGGAACGGTGCCGTGTCCTCGGTGGACGCCACTCCTGTTTCCTTAGATGTGGATCACGCTGATTGTATAAAAAATACAACGTTCTACCAAACGAGACGAGGGCAGAGCAGTTTCTTTTGTCATGCAATATACATCCTCACAGCTATTAACCAGTGCGTTTGCCGAGTCGATGTGGGAAAGATACTACTGACGGTCATCGATGGACCGACGAGGAGCGTAACAGAAATGTGAGTGTACAGAATTCCAACCTCTGTTTTGCACCAGTTCTATGTAGGCAGTCACATCTATTACCCAGCATACAACCCGAATCCCGCCCCAGCCGACTTAGTGGCCGTGGCCGTCATCCTCCTTTTGTTCCGGGTCCAACTTGATGAGGGTATCGATGCGCATGATGCTGATGCAGGCCTCGACGGCGCTCTTGAGCTGCCGGACCTTGCTGATGCTGGGCTCGAGGACGCCGAGCTTGAGCTCGTCGACAACCTTGCCGCGCATGAGGTCGAGGCCGTAGTTCTTGTAACCCTTCTTGCGGGCGATAGTCTTCTCGTCCTCGCTGCCGTCGCCCTCCTGGATGCGCTGCGACAGGGCATGTCGTGACCGCAGCTGGGCGACGAGCTCGGCACCGTCCTTGGCGGCGTTGACGGCCAGCGTCTTGGGCACAACGAGGAGAGACTGGGCGAACTCGCCGATGGCGAGCTGCTCACGCGAGCCGACGGTGCCGGCAAACTCCTCGAGGTAGATGTGCAGGGCCGTCTCGACGGCGCCGCCGCCGGGCACGATGCTGCCGCTCTCGAGCGTTCGCTTGACGGCGCAGAGCGAGTCGTGCACGGAGCGCTCCATCTCGTCCAGAGTGAAGTCGTTGGGGCCACGCAGGATGCATGACGCGGAAGAGTGCGCCTTGGTGCCCTTGATGAGGATGCACTCGTCGTCCGAGATGCGCTCCTGGCTCACCTCATCGGCGTAGCCCAGGTAGGACGGGTCGAACCGCTCGTCACCGTTGAGGTCGGACAGGGTGCTGAGGAGCGTACCGCCGGTGGCCCTCGCAATCCGGCGCAAGTCCTCCTTCTTGCATCTCCTCACGCCCATGGCGCCCTTCTCGATGAATGCCTTCAGGACCAGGTCGTCGATACCCTTAGTTGTCAAAATGACGTTGGCACCAGCCTTGAGGATCATCTCCACCTTCTCGAGGATCATGCCCGACTCGCGAGCGCGAATCTGCTCTAATTGTTGCGGGTCGTCGACTGTGATCTGAACGCCCATCTTCATCCTCTCCTTTTGCAGGTTCATGTCCAGGATGGCAATCTTGGCATCCTTGATATAGGTAGGCATAGCCTGGGAGGCAACGGTGCAGTTGAGCGCGTAGCCCTTGATCAGCAGCGACTCGCGGGTGCTCTTGCCGTGGGCCTTGAGGATGTTGACGGCCTTGACGGGGTACTTTGTCTCGTTTCGGTTGTTCGTGGTCTTGACGGCCAGCATTGCGTCGACAACCATGTTGGCAAAGAAGTCGGAGTCAGCGCCGATGATCTTGCTCGACATGGACGTCTTGGCGATGCTGAGCAGAGACTCGCGGCCGAGGTTCTCGACCTTGATGCTGACGTTCTCGTTGAGGTACTTGACAGCCTCGCGCAGGGCGAGACGGTAGCCGGTGATGATGGTGGTCGGGTGGATGCGATTCTTCATCAGCTCGTTGCCGCGTCGCAGCAGCTCGGCCGCGATGAGGACGACGGAGGTGGTGCCGTCGCCGACCTCCTTATCCTGCTGCTGCGCCAGGTCGACCAAGATCTTGCCGGCGGGGTCTTCGACATCGAGGAGGCTGAGGATCGTGGCGCCATCGTTGGTCACGGTAACGTCCTGTTTTGGCGTGTGAGGGGCAGCTCTGGTGGACTACGACGGGAGGGCTCGAGGGGAATATGCTTACGCCGATGTCATCCACCATCATCTTGTCGAGGCCACTGGGGCCGAAGGAGCTCTTGACGACATTCGCAATCGCTTGGGTAGCAAGGACTACAAGCAAGTCAGCACGCGTGGGCAGTCATGACTGGAGCTGCCTCGCCTACCGTTCTGGTCGCGGATGTCGGAGCCTGAGATCTTCTGGCCGCCGAGGAACAGGGTCCCGTTCCGGGGCTGCTCGAACATGGACGCCATTGTTGTGGTCGTCCGGAGGAGTGTTCAGGCGACGTGTAGGGTCTCGAAGAGAGGCGGCGTTGCGACGTCGTTCTGGTGCGGAATTTCAAAGGCCAGCCGTGTCGTGGGATAGGAGCCTCCACAAGCTGGCGTCCGTAGCTCCAGTTGCGCTGCAGACTGCCCCTCGATACTTTTTCGCCGGAAGCTCGGATTGTTCCAGCTCCGGGGACGTTTCCCCCGTTGCGATGGGACCTAATTGTGGCGCGGGCCTAGTGAGGCGGGCGGTGGCAGCCAGCAGCAAAGGGCCAGTGCTTTCGGTGGAGCCACCCGACCGCCCTTGGGCAGGGCAGTATTGACGGGAGGTGTGTCCGGTGACCACCGCGCGTCGGACAGTCAGTCCGGTTAGTGGAGGCTGCCTGGCGCTTCCAGGGCGCCCGCCAGCAGGGCCGCCGCTACCCTCGCCAGGCCAGCGGAGGCGTCCCAGGCCAGGGCGCCGAGACCCTGGGGCGGCTCCAGCCCTGATTGGCCGATGCGCCTGTGACCTGAAATTTTGTCGTGGCCCCCCAATTGCCCCTCCTACCGATAGGGAAGGCGCATGGCGGGGCAGCCGCCACAACCACCAACGACACCGGAGCCCGATAAAAGAGTCGGTGCGAGTCACCTCCTCGCCCTGACAACACCCTTTCTTTCGGCCTGACCGCTCCCGCTGCAGCGACTCGACGACGGCTCCCCTCCTCGGGCTCGGAGTTGACTCACGCACTCTGCACCAGCGTGTCATTCTAAAGAGCGAGCGTCCGCGAGCCTGCTCTTCTTGTCTGCAGTCTTTTTCTCCAATTTTCGACTTATCGCGATCGAGATCGAGACGTCGCCACCATGGACGGTGCCGTAGAACCCTCCAAGAGCGCCCTGAAAAAGGCCGAGAAGCAGGCCAAGCTCGCCGCTGAGAAGGCAGCCAAAGCCGCCAAGAAGACTACCGTCCCCGTTGTTGGCGGTAAGAAGGCCGAGAAGAAGGCCGACGACATCATCGGCATCACCGTCTCCAAGGCGGAAAACTTCCCAGCATGGTACCAGGAGGTTGTTCTCAAGTCCGACATGGTCGAGTACTACCAGGAGATCTCGGGCTTCTTCGTCCTGCGTCCCCTGGCCATGCACGTCTGGAGCGAGATCCGCAAGTGGTTCAGCGGACACATTGAGGAGATGGGCGTCGACGAGGTCAGCTTCCCGCTGTTCCTGTCCTCCAAATCGCTGGAGAAGGAAAAGGACCATGTCGAGGGTTTTGCCCCTGAGCTGGCATGGGTCACCAAGGCGTAAGCTGCTCCCTGCAATTCTCGAGATCATTGGCTTCTTGGCCCCCGGCTGACACAAAGATAGCGGCGATAAGGACCTCGAGGTCCCGGTTGCGATTCGTCCCACCTCCGAAGCCGTCATGTACCCCTACTACTCCAAGTGGATTCGCAGCCACCGAGATCTTCCCTTGCGACTGAACCAGTGGAACTCGGTCGTCCGGTGGGAGGCCAAGCAGACGACTCCCTTCCTCCGAACCCGAGAGTTCCTGTGGCAGGAGGGCCATACCGCACACCTGACAGAGGACCTCGCCGGCAAGGAGGTCCTGGAGATTCTCGAGCTGTATGCTGGTGTCTACGAGCAGCTTCTTGCTCTCCCCGTCGTTCGCGGCACTAAGACGGAGAATGAGAAGTTTGCCGGTGGCTACTACACCACGACGGTGGAGGGATACGTGCCTGCCAATGGTCGCGGCATTCAAGGTGCCACGTCCCACTGTCTGGGTCAGAACTTCAGCAAGATGTTCGACATCACTGTGGAGGACCCGCACAACAAGGGCCAGCACGTCCACGTGTGGCAGAACTCGTGGGGTCTGTCGACTCGCGTCATTGGCGTTATGGTCATGGTACATGGCGACGACAAGGGTCTTGTTCTCCCTCCCCGCGTTGCCAAGATCCAGACTATCCTCATTCCCGTCGGTATCAATAAGAGCACCACCCCCGAGGACCGGAAGAAGCACGAGGAGCAAGTCGACAGCATCAGGAAAACGCTGAGGAAGGCGGGCGTCCGCGCTGATTCTGACTGGAGAGAGGGCTACACTCCTGCGTGGAAGTTCAACGACTGGGAGCTCAAGGGCGTTCCCCTGCGAATCGAGTTCGGTCCCAAGGACGCCGCTAAGGAGGTGGTGAGCTGGGCGAGACGAGACACGGGCGAGAAGGGCGTTTTCCCTATCGCCGAGGTGGGCACCAAGGTGCCAGAGCTGCTGGAGACGATCCAGAAGGACATGTACACTAAGGCTGAGGCATCTTTCCGGGAGCATCGCCTCAAGATCACCAAGTGGGAGGATGTTCTCCCAGCCCTGGACGACAAGAACGTTGTCCTCATTCCGTTCTGCCTGGACGGCAAATGCGAGGACCGCATCAAGGAGCTGACGACGCGGGTCGACGAGCACCCTGATCTCCCCGACAACCAGAAGCTTCCCTCGATGGGCATGAAGAGCTTGTGCATCCCCTTCGACCAGCCTACTGGAGACGAGCTCGTGCCCGGCGAGACGGCCTGCCTCAACCCCGAGTGCAAGGGCAAGGCGCAGAAGTGGGTCATGTTTGGACGCAGCTACTAAGCGACGGAGCATTTTGGCGTCGTTTGAGCCGGGAGTGTACAGGAGTTTGCATACTCGGGGTGTTTTGTGATTTTCGTCTGTGAAGGGCACACGGCTGGTTTTCACAAGGCGAGAGGGAGGATAGATGAATGGATGATGATGAATCTAATGTCTATTGCCGCTGGCGTGACTCGCCGTGCATGTTTGATGGACGCACAATGCCTAACACCATTCGTAGCGCTCGTTTGCGACCCATTCGACGCGTTGGACGGAACCGTCACCGAACCACCGCAGGCTGGTGATGCTGTCTTCTTCCCTGACGACGTACTGGGCCTTCAGGTCCTCCATCTGCACGATGAGGCGTTTGGTCCGCTCGTCGGGGTTCCACATGTCGACGCGAGAGCACATCCACTCGCGGGCCTCCACCCGTGCAACTTCAAGAATGGCACGCCAGGCCTGTGATAGCTCGGCGTCCGAGATGCTCGAATTCTCGACGACAGAACGTTGGATGTACACCACGTTCTTGGCCGGGTTCATCGTGCCGCCAGAGTGGACTCGCACCCAGATGGCCCAGACGCGGGAGCCGTTGGAGGGGCTGGTGTACACGGCGCCGTGGACGGTGGGCGCGCGGCCGAGGTGGTGTGTCGACATGAAAGCCTCGCGGGCAAAGTGCCATCGCATGTGGTCCATGTCCGGGAGGATGGCGACGCGCGTTTTGGTGGTGGGATTTGCGTCATCGTCAGCGGCCATGCGCTCGCGGAGGAGCTTCTCGTCGAGGGCCACTAGGAGTTCCAGGTTATCGTCCGTGATGGGCGTCACATCGCCACGGGCACTAGCAGAAGCATCGCCCGACACAGCAGCGGGCAACGTCAGGTGAGAGCTTTCGAAGGGCGCCCAGTCGAGCGCAGCATAGAACTTCTTGCCAATGTCCGAGAAGAGTACGGAGAAAGCCGCGTCGCCGGGCTGGCGGGCCTCGTCGTCGGCGAGCTTCTTGCCGAGCTGGTCGAGCATGCGGGCGGCGTAACCCTTGCGGCGGAACTCGGGGTAGGTGAAGACGCTGGCGACGCCGTGGGCGTGGACGTCGCGGACGGTGGGCTGGCCGGGGCTGCGGACGAGGGCGCGCTTGCGCAGGGTCTCACACGAGGAGAGGACGGGGCGGTTGTTGTTGCTGCTGCTGCTTTCACTGCTGGTCCCGCCGGTGGCAGAGGCGGATGCGGGTGACGGCGTGGTCAGGATCCATTGCCTGATGCCGCCGTCGCGGGCCAGGGGTACGGTGAGGAGCTCCCGCTCGCGCGCGAGGTAGACGTCGAGCGGGTAGGACGGGCCCCAGGACGGATGCGTGTGCGTCCATGTGCGGACCTGCTCGTCGTCGTTCGGGTGGGCGAGGACGAGGCCCGCGTCGTCGGGGGTCGCTGAAGAGGCCATGTTGGGGTGCGGTTTGGTGTCTTCTCGGAATGAGCCGTGAACTCAACCATGTAGCGGAGTTGTCTGTGACACCAGGTCGACAAGAAGCCCTCGACGTCAGGAACAACAGTGTATCGACTTGCAATTGCCTGCGTCGCCGGCGGGCCAGATCCGTGAGTTTCGGCGTGGGGGCAGTCAGGCGAGGGGTATCGACAGACGGGGCCGATTCGTGTGTTGCAGGTTGTAAGGTTGAAAGTTGTAAGTCGCCCGCTCATCAATCGCGCCCTGAATGAGTCGATGCCCCGCACCGGAAGGAGTGACCATGTCAAATGTGGAGGTTCGGGCTGCGGAAACCGGGCGGTGCTGTGCTTCACCGCACCAAGCCCTTGCCGCCCCCGCTGTTGCGGCATCCTCTCATTCCCGGCAGGACCAGTCGGCGCCCGAGGTAGTGACAGGCCCGGAGGCCGCCCCGGAGCCGGGCACCGGACCGCCTCCGGGACGGGGCCTCCTAACAGGCACGGATCATGGCACGGGACTGGATTGGACGCAATGTAACACAATGCGAGGCAACGCAAAGCAACGCAACGCAAGACGACGCAAGACGATTGTTAAAATGGCTGTGCCCTGCACAGGGCACGAATCTAGTACATTGAGTTGGTGGTGGTCGCAACCTGGCAATACAACTCTGCTATGGCACAATGTAGCAACGAATGGGCAAATAAATGCGACAACCCCCCTCATTCCCTTTCTCCTCCACAATCTATCCGTCATGACTCGCACGGCATCTCGTCCAGCGGGATGCCGTGCCGTATGTCGTCGGACCTGTCGAAGTCGCGCGCCTGCACGGCGAGGAACTGAAGGACGTGTCGCAGCATGCCCCTCAACTTCGGCCTCGCCGTCGTTGTTGTTGGTGTCGTATGTGTGTTTGGGCTGGCGAATATGCCTCCACCGCATAGCTCATCGAGGATGCGCTGCCCGCTCTGCAGGTGCGCCTCGGCAGCGGCCTGATCGCCGTTAATGGTCTCGAAGATGACGAAGAAGACGGCGCAAAGGATCGCCTCGCGCAGGTCCGATGTCCGCCGTGCCTCGCGCAGGGCATGTCCATAGCACGTCAGCGCGCGGCCGTAGTGATCGGCGGTCGTTCGTGGGCCATGCTGCTGCCGCGGCCCTGGCGTTGGCCTCCTGTGCGGGTGCGGTGGCTGGTGGTGTTCGTATTGGTGATGGTGAGGGTGGTGGCTATCAGCTGAGTGTATAATGGTTGGTCCTTTGGCGAAGATGAGCGTGTGTACGGCAATGTTGGCGTATCGCACCGCCGTGCTCTCCCGTACGAGGCGAGGCATCGTCTGCTTCCAAAATGCGTCATCCAGGACGGCGTCCGCAGCGGAGGAGAGGGCGGCTTGCTGATGGGGAGGATAAAACGGTGGCGATGGGTGCTGATGTGCATCCATGAAGCCGGCGGAGACCAGCTCGACGCCGAGCTCAGGAGGGCTAGGGGCAATGGTCGAGAAGGCGGCACTCGACACCGACGATGCATCGTCTGTCCAACTATTTGTGTTTCCATGCAACGACAGCGGCGTCGGAGGCGGTTGACTGGCGTGAAGGGGAGGACTCGTTCTGGTCTCCCTGGAGGCGGAGGAGGAGGAGGCTGTTGCTGCCCGTGATCTCGACGCCCCTGAGCTTTGGAGCGACTCGAGACTCTCGTAGCCGCTGCAATAGCCCGCCCACTTGAGGCAGTTCTTGCAGCACGGTTTCGTCTCATCGCACTTGACATGTCGGCGTCTAAAGAGCAGCACTGAGTTAGCATCCTAGCGTCAGGTACGAAAGGGTCAGGGGGCGCCGTTGAAGGCAAGGTGGCGAGACTAACTTGCCTGCGATTTTGTCAGCACCATCACAACATCAGTGTCCGCGAGCACGGTCGAAACGAGGGATCTGGGACGGAATGCCGACTTACATGTCACGCAGCCGGTGCGCACTTTGGCAAACTTGGCCCGCGTCGCACGCTTCTGCTTGGCCACGGCAAAGGTGGTCATCATGGGTTCTGCGGAAGTTCTTCTATGCTGTGTCAGAAAGAGGTCCAAGGGGAAAGGCTGCTGGAAAGGAGTGTATCAACGTACCCTCCCGAGGTGGTGGTGGCTGACAGTAACATGTCTGGGCTCATGGCTCTAGATGCAACGGCAACAGCAACAACGGCTGCAACAACACGAACATGAATGCACGGCGCCTGCAGGAATACAACGCTCGAGAAGCAGGGAAGAAGAAATAGAAGGCCGAAGAAGGTGTGCTGCGAGTCTGGATATATGCGGGCATGTAGGTTGTATTTGTGTCGGTGCCGGGGGGGTGGGCGGGCGCGGCGTGTGTATGTGTCTGGTGTGGGTGGTGGTGGTGGTATTCGGAGTGGTGGGAGTAGGTAGCAGCACAGGAGTCAGGCCGTGGGGGATGACGTTCCCCAGCGCCCGCGAGTATGTGTCTGGTTCGTGTGCGTGTGTGCGTGTGTATGGGAAGGAAGTCCAAAACAACTCAGGCCCTGCCTGTTGTATTACATGCCGGCCCAATAGAACGAATGATGCAGCGCAGCCGCCGGGGTTATGTATGTTGGGAGGGAGGCATGGAGGACCCGTCCTCTTATCTGGCATGGCCTCCCGTGGGCTGGCCTGACCCAAGTCGACGGCACAGGCACACATGTGTGTACTATTACAGGCAACGGGCTAAGTAGGTACCATGATACTATCACTAGCCGGGGATCTCGGCAGTCGTACATGACGGGGGGGCGTGTCGGGTCGGGTGTGTGTGTGTGTGTGTCTGGCCAAGTTTGGGTTCTGGGAGAATGGGGGCCAGCAGGCTGAAGGCAGGCTAGGCAGGCAGGCAGGCAGGCGGGATGGCAGAGTGAGGCAGGGTCACGAACTCAAAACGTGGATGCTCGTCGTCGGTCGTCGTCGGTGCCCTTGCCCATGGGGCTGAGCGCAGCCACGTTTCTTGGGGCCGGGCGGCGTGGGCGGCGGATAGGGACGAGGCCCGCGTCGCCAGGACAGAGGAACCACGTCGGCGACTAGGGCACCGGCTCCCGCGACTCCGCGCCCAGCTGGGAGGTTGAGCCAGAGCCCATTGGCTCCGCGTTTCCCAGCCCGCCGGCAGGGGGGGGCGTGACTTGGAGGGGGGTGGTGATGATGATTGGGTTGAAGAGTCGAGCTGTGTGGACTCGTCTTGCCATCTCTTGAGGCGCGTGTCTCTTTGTCTCTCATCTCTCTGTCGCCCTCTTTCACGAGATGATGATGATGATGATGCTGTCTGGCACAGAAAGACGCGCCTCACACAGCCGAAAGGGTTGGCTCTCGCGGGCTAGTCCTGCATGAGCAACTGCTGGGACATTGGAGTGGGTTGGTGCTGCAGGCCCGGCGCGCGGACTCCCCGGTCAGCCCTACGAGGCGGAAACGCACCTGTCAGCAGGAAAAAAAAAACCAAGGCCGCCCGCCCTGCGCGCGCGGGCAGAAACAGGGTCCTTGCCAACCGTCCCGTGTGTGAGTGCGTGAGTGAGTGAGTGAGTGTGTGAGAGTCTGCGAGAGAGCATCCACGACCGACTCCACAGTCCCACACGCCGAGCCCCGATCGTCTCCGCTTCCATCTCACGCACACAAGCAGCATCGCCATGTCATGTATGTCATGTCATGATTATCATCCGCTATGGAGATACGTACACGGGACTCGGCGCACGAGCCTAGCCGCCAACTAGGCAAGTCAAATGCTGTGGACAGCAGGAGCAGAGGCGTTTGTGTTTCCGGCGGGAGGCCCTCTCCGGATGCCCTGCCCAGCCGCTCGGTCGGGAGCCAAAACCGCCCCCAAATTTAGAATATGGAAGTCGTTTCGAAGCTCGTCAGTGTCGCCACCTCTCCCAACAACTTCATCGCTGGGCTGACGAAGGGCATGTCTCGGCCTCGGGGCAGCCAACGCTCCGGCGTGCCGTACGTCCGTCTGGCGGCTTCATCAAGATCCCCGGTGTAGCACAGAGCCCGCCGTTGCTGCCGTTGAGTCACCTGGGCGCGCAACTGCGCTGCGCTGCAGTGACTGCACCCTCACCGAGACCCCCCGTCCGCGGTGTGTGTGTGTCTCTCCTTCTCCGTCCTCCATGCATCCAACGTTGCTTCCGCGTACGGCATGTACTTTGTAGAGCAATTCCCGGCAGGCAAACCGTGAAGAATGGCGACCGACTCGGCTAGATACTCCCTGAGCCCCGGTGCGCGCATCCATAACACATCAGATTCCTACATACGTAGACGCGCCATCACCACCCTCGTCGCACGCAGCCTGCGCGTCCGGGCGGCCGACGGGATGCACGCCATCGGCCTTTGCTGATACCATGACCAAGGGCGGCGGCGGCGGCGGCGGCGTCGGCTACTGCTGCAGGCCCCATCGCCGACTTGCATGTGCGTCCGTCCGCGTTTCTGCTCGTGCGGCCGCTGTGCTGCCCTGCGCGTCCCGGGGGGGAGGCGCCGAGCGGCCCGCCGTTTTGTCGGCGACGGGAGCACTGCCACGCCGCGGCATGGCGGTGAAGCGCCGTCAGCCGGTGGACTTGATCGTTACAGCGGCGTGGCAATGAGCATGGGGGGCCTTGGAGCAGCAGCAGATGGAGCTGCAGCACCATCAGCGGGTGAGCGGAGCGGCTGTTCCTCTTCCCCCTCATCCCCTCCCCCTCCTCACCACTCTCTTCCCCCCACCATGCGGGCCCGCGCGCCGGGGGTGCTTTTGCCTGGGGGACTATCGTCCGCCATTTCGGCGTCGCCGATGCGGGCCGCCGCCTGCTGCGGCTTCTTGGAACTGATGGCGCGAACGACGGCCGAGGCACGGGCGCTCCGCCAGGCACAGGCGGACGGCGCCGTGATGCAGACCCAAATATAAAGAAAGCCGCCGCCGTCCCTTCCAGATGCGGATACAAGATTCAATCAATCCGCCTGGCGACTCAAACGTCGTCATGAAAGGGACCCTCTGTAATGTTCGGGCGGCCTCCAGGCGATGGCTGCTGCTCGTGCTGTTCCAGTGCCCGACTTGTGTGAGCGCTTAGTGTTATTGCTATGTCATGCATCTCACTGCAATGCGCGTTGCGCTTGGAGCCGACACCGACTCATGAAATTCACTTAGAGCATGTAGACTTCGTAATGGAATGATTCACAAGATTTCACCGCGACCATTGTATGTCAAATGTTGTGATGGCATGCGTTGGAAGACAAAGATTAGGCGACGCATGGGCTGGCTTTGCGTCTGGTGCGTCCAGGCACAGCTCAAACATCAAGAATTGATATATCTAGGACTAGGACTGGAAACGATCATCTCCGTACTCTGATCCGCCTGTACTCAATCGTCAAGCTTCCTTTGCTGCATACACCAACGGGGGTACTCTATCCAGTCCAACAATTCGACAATGCCCAGCAACCTCAAGCCTAATGTCGCCGCCCCAAGGCATACTCTGTTGAAGGGCGTGAGTACATCATCCAGGGTCCTTGCCATAACGTCCTCAGTGATCTGGAACGCTCGCGAGACCCAAGTCCAGATGTCAAACACTAACGACGACGACAACTTTTAGCACTGCAAAGTCGGTACGCAGCAATGCTGGGTGCCGCAATACGAGGAGCAGCCAGGGCTTCCTTCACCAGCGCCGCTGCTTAAGGTCCGGTGCAGCTGCGACCTGCCTCCCGACCACCATTATATTCTCTACCCAGAGAGATTCGAGTACCCTCCCCTACTTGCGGTAAGTGTAGATTCCACGGCGCCAACAGCACATTCCTATTGCCTTTGATCTGTACTCGGCCTGAAGCGAGACGTTGACCAAAACTCGTGTCATGTCTCCCGCAGTGCTCTCAGGACGACAATGGGTGTTATTACAACGTGACCTGCAACAAGGCCTTTTGCTATTGAGAAATGGTGGTTGGCGCCGTCTTGAGAACTTGGAAATGGGCTGGTCGAATGGCTCACAGACTATTGTACCTACCTCCTTGAAAACAAAAATAACCGAGTTCTCATTTCCAGGTTACAAGAACATGAACCCCGTATCAAGAGACTAACGCCACCAAGCAAAAGAAACGAGGCATCCTTCCACCCATCTTGCGTCGTGTGCAAGGCGCATGTGCCCTGCCATCGCATTGACGGGCTCGGTCTAGAATCCAGCCCGGCCTCGGCAACGCGTGACGGGACGGCCAATGACGCCAGACCAAAGTGTCTCGGTAGCCTGCCCCCAAGCACCCTTTCACCGGTGGCCGGCGTGACCCCCCAACTAGCACAGCCGGAGGAGGGACAGAAATATGGCCAGCCAGCGTAGGGCTGAAGACGCCACGGCTTTGTGCCGCAAGGATGCCTGTTGAAGCTACAGGTCCTGGAGCCTCGTATGGCAGCAAGCCACCAGATCACGGGCCATGGGCTTGCTGCGCCCTGAGATGGCGCCCGCCTTACCCCGAAGACGCACGGCAGGTCCCGTTGAATCGGCAAGCAAGACGGTCGTGTCCTGGGCAGCGGTCTACATCGATTCTCAGTCTAGGGTAAGTTGGACTCTCCCCCGTGTGATGCCCCCGGTTCCAGTGACGTTATGATCCAGAATCTAGCTGCCTTGTTAGTAGCCACGGGGTGGCAGGCTGTGCCATAGGACGCGCATCACTCCCTGGGTGACGTGTTGCCGAGTTGAAGTGACACATTTTGCAATGCAGCCTCGTCGCGCATACGAGAGAATGGATTGCAGTCTGGCAGTACGCGCGGCGTTGCTGCTTGTGTTCTGCTTGGAACACTTGATGCTGTCAAACTTATTACTTCTTTACGTAGAAAGCTGCCGGTGCATTGGATAGTAATCTGGTAGTCCGAGTTCGATGGACTGCCTGGCGGAGCTTGCTCTGAGAGTCGGGCGGCACCATTTGATCAGACAAAGCACGGGTCAACGTAGCTGGGCACAAATGTCGCAAACTGGCCTCATGTCAAATAATTGGCAGTGGCAGGAGGTCAGTCAAGCCCTCTTGCAGACAAACGTAAGGTGCAAGGCATTACTTAATACATTGTTTCATCTGGACGTCAGTGCATCTTTATTCGGCTGTTCGATCTTGTCATTGATTGAAGCCTTCAAGTTCTGCCAGGTCAGTGACTACGCCTCCCGCGAACATATAAATTCCTGTAAGAACCCACGAAACGACATCATGTGTACCTTGAATATTAAGTGCATCTCAGAGCGCTGGCAGGATGAGGCTTCAGGTAGCGCCTGCTTTTGTAGCGTTCCTTGGCACAGTCCATGCTACGCGCATCGACTGGGAGCCAACGTTACACTTCCATGTCGCCTCCAGAGAACAGGCGGAAGAGTACCTAGTTGGAATCAACAAATATGTCGAGGGTGTAAGTATTCGTCTCTGACTGTTTCACAAATGGTTTATTGACCACATACAATTACACGGCACTAACGCGAGTCTCCAGGTCTGTGATCCCCTAACAAACAGCTGCAATGCCAAGTACTGGCGCCTGTCCAAGCCCTTCACCTCCGGGATGTTCAGCTACCAGACTATTTCGAGAGAGAGAGATTGTGCCACTCCAGTACGCTTTCCTACGCAAACCCCTACCGCATCCCTCATCGTTGTTGTGCGAGAGGCTAACCCGAAGACCGCTCTAGTGCCCTTACAAAGGAGCCCGTTGTGTGATCGTGAGGATAGACCATGATGGGCACATGAACGCCGGCGGTGTAGGCTGCCACATGGTCGCTGAGTGTGCTAATGCCGACGTTAAGTACCCGCATTAGAAGGCGAAGCGTGGCGATGGCCTCCGGCGGATAGATGAGCCCTGAAACTGTGAATTAGCATTAACTTCTTGCCCCTATTAGGTGAGACTGGTCGATGGACCTTGTGTTAAGCTTGAGCGATTTTCGTAGACGTCGTGTCGCCAGGGCCAGGCCACGGCTACATGTAACAGAATTACGTACTATCTCGAGGAGGAGCAGGCGCACTGGCGATAGTATGCCACTGCTGCTCACGACATGATATACTTCGATGGGTCGAGTTGGCTATAAGACTCGCTGCCATCACAGCGCAGTTGCCTAGGCTCGCCGTCCGGTCGCACACTAGAGTGACATGAGTTGCACAAGCTGCTCCTGATAAGCGTTGTTGGATCCCTCTCGAAGCTTGGTTTAGCCGAGGCAGCCCTCCGGGCCCCAATCTGGCATGAAACTCCTGGCGGCTGCGGCTGCGATTGCGACGACTCACTTGCTGTCCACAGGTCGTGTACTAGGTTGCGCTTTGGTAGCACTACACGCAAGCATCGACCAAAAGTCCTGCACCATTTTCCTACCGTTCAGGCCACATCGAATAGTTCGCCTACGAAACGTCTCTCGACAGGAATAGTATTCCGAAAATGCCAATCCCACTTTGCCATTTCAGCATTGGCTGTCGAGGCAGTGTAGGGGAAAGCCATAATGACCATTACACAACGGACGATTGTGCAATCGCACACGACATAACCATTCCAGGGAATCGGCTGTTATTTGGCCCCCAGTGTCTCGAAGTACACACATGGTCTCCTTGCTGCTCAGCGCCGATTATTTTCAAAGCCTTGGCATCACGACGGGCCCCATTGCTTTAGGAATTGACGGTCATTGAGTTGGAGACTTCTAGGGTTTTCGACGTGATCAATGCCTGGTCTAGGGTAAGCTGGATTTCTACTGCAAGCTCGAGCTGCTCCAGTCCGGCTCGCGTTGGATGGTGGGGTCAAAAGAAAGTCGACGAGGGGCATTGTCAGCCACGACCTCAGACCTGCAACTGCTTTACCTGCCTCCTCCTCCACCGGCAGCTCCTCTTCCCACCCTCCAGTGCCGGCTCAAGAATGGCGCTGCCACTGCCGCCAGGCCTCGTGCCCTCCGAGGTTGGGTTCCTCTGTGAGATGGAGCTTGTCACCGTCGTCCCGCGCCAGCGCCTCGAGCCCATCTCCCTGCTCTCCGTAAGCGCGTCTCCGTCGCGTCTCCCCCCAAGCTTCACTTTTCCTGACTGAGCTCCGCGTCCTAGGGCGAGACCCCGGCACTGCGCCCTCCACACCGCAGCAACATCCCGCTCTGGCTCGCCCTCCTCCTCAAGAAGCAGCGGCGCGCCAACATTGTCGCACCGCCCTGGCTGCACCCGGATTCGCTCCGCGACATCATCCACCACGAGACCAAGATTGACACCAAGGGCTGGGCGCCGCCGCCTCCTCTGCCCGCGCGTGGAGACGCCCGCGGCAATGCGCGCCGCTACGGCCAGGGCACTAGAGACGCACAAGATGGCGCGAGCGGCTCCGACAAGACGGTCCTCTCGCCGCCCTTTCTCCCCTCCTGCACCTCCAACGCGCCCACAGGCGCCCTGCCTTATCACTGGCTCGAGCTCGCCGAGATGCTCCTCGCCCACGCTGCCGACGATGTGCCCTCCGCGTCCGAGGTGCGCTCACTGCTGCGCGATTTGCAGGAGGTGCGCGCCGCCAAGATGCGTGCCAGCACGGCCCAGCTCGAGGCTGGCGTGGACGGAGTCATGAGCCTCCGCGGCGTCGGCGCCATGGAGCTCGCCGAGAGCAGAGGCTTCGTTGTGGGCGTTGTCGAAGGCGTGAGGAAGATTGGCTCCAGCGCCGAGGCGGTGCGCCGCGAGGAAGAGGAGGAGCGTGGCGGAAGGGATGACGATGACGAGCCCAGCGACGACGATATGGGTCTGTAAAGACCGATGCATGACGGTGAAACGGCTCACGGAGGATGCGACGTCAATTCGCGTGGTACAATGATAACGAAGTACATGATTTCACAACGACAATGCCTCTCAGCGGGTATCAGTGAATTGTGTTTCCAAGATCCTACAAACTACGGGTAACCGCCCCGGCATTACCAAGCCACCAAACGCCATATGGCTCTAATTACCACAGAACTGACATGGGAAGCCACAGATGCTAGGCGAGATATACGCCTATTTCTTCGCCTTACCGCCCGCGTTGGGGCCAGGCTTGGCGGGCTTTGCACTGGTGTTTCCGGCGGCTGGACCAGGCTTGTTCGCCGCGGGTGCTGCAGGCTTGGTACCCATGGGCGGTGCAGGCTTGTTGTTGCCCATGGGCGGTGCGGGCTTGTTGGCGACGGGAAGTGCAGTCTTGTTACCAACGAGCGGTGCAGCCTTGTTGCCGACAGGCGGCGCGGCCTTCTTACCGACGGGCGGTACCGCACCCTTCTTGCTGGCTTCCGACGGTTTTCCACTGTGGACAGAAGGTCCTTTTCCGTTGGCGACGGGAGGTGTAGCTCTGCCCGGGGGCTGGATGGTCCCCTTACCGGCAGCAGGCGGCATGGATCCCTTGCCGGCGACAGGAGCTGCGTGTCCCTTGCCTGCGGCGGCTGGCAGCGAGTGGCCCTTGCCGGCGACAGGAGCTGCGGTTCCCTTGCCTGCGGCGGCTGGCAGCGAGTGGCCCTTGC